TCCTGCATCTGGCTTTGGTTGTGTGAAAGGAGAGCAAGGTCATCTGCAAAATGAAGATCGCCGAGTTGCGTCAGGAGTGTCTACTGTATTCCATTGTACCTGTCAGATGTGGTAGTCCTCATGATCCAATCAATGACCAAGAGAAAAAGAAATGGTGACAGCAAGCATCCTTGTCGAACTCCTGTCCTGACCTCGAAACTATCAGACATCTGGCCAGCATGTCCTGACCTCGAAACTATCAGACATCTTGCCAGCATGGGCAACCCTGCCTATCATGCCTTGGTAGGTGTTTAGTGAGATAAGGTGGCTACAGATGGGACAGCTGGGGCTAACCACCGGGGAAACACTATAGTATTCAGGACACACCGAGGAGGGAGCCCACCACACCAAAGGTGTAGGTCTGATGCTATCCCTAGAGGCTCAACGTGCTCTCATCGGATGGGAACCTGTCAACTCCGGCATAATAACAACCAAGTTTAACACCAAGGAAAGTAAGATCAAGTTAAACATCATACAATGTTATGCTCCCACAAATGATGCAGATGAGGAAAAGAATGATGCCTTTTACCAACAACTACAGGCAGTCTTGGATAAAACAGGCAAGAAAGACATGACAGTACTCATGGGCGACTTCAATGCCAAAATTGGAGATGACAACACAGGCTACAAAGAAGTCATGGGTACACAAGGACTGGGCTACATGAATGAGAACGGTGAGAGATTTGCAGACCTGTGCTCACTTAACCAGATGGTAATAGGTGAAAGCATCTTCCCTCATGAAAGAATTCACAAGGCCACATGGAGATCCCCTGACCATGTTACAGAGAACCAGATCGACCATATCTGCATTAACAAGAAATTTAGAAGAGCATGGAAAGATGTCAGGGTGATGAGAGGAGCAGACATTTCATCAGACCACCATCTGCTGATGACGGCATTAAGGCTTCGCCTCAAGAAGTTCAACAACACGACAAACAGGAGGACAAGGTACAACGTGAGTGCCCTCAAAACAAAGGAAGTGAAGACAGCATTCCATCTCAGCTTGTCAAATAGATTCCAGCTACTACAGGACCAGCTAGAAAACAATGATACCAACATAGAGACCCCCCAATGGCAGTCATCAAGGAAATGTGGCAAGGCACATGCGAGGAAGTCCTAGGCAGAAGCAGAATCAGCACAAGGAGCGGATCTCTGGTGATACGATGAGGAAAGTGGAGGCGAGGAAGGAAAAGAAAGCAGTGCTAATTACAAGCAGGACAAGATCAGCAAAGACAAAAGCTCAAGAGGAATACATGTACACAGCCACAGATAAAGAAGTTAAGAAAAGCATCAGGAGAGATAAAAGGGATTGCATCGACAACCTGGCGAAACAAGCTGAAGATGCTGCGGGACAAGGAAATTTGAAAGAACTGTATATGATTATGATCACAAAGAAGCTCTCCAACAAGTTCCAGCAAACAGACAAGCCAGTGAAGGACAAGAACGGAAAAACTCTCACAACAACAGAGGAACAATTGAAGAGGTGGGTAGAACACTTCAGAGAGCTATTAAATAGACCAGCACCAGAAACACCCCCAGACACACAACCAGCCAATATAGACCTCCCGATCAACTGCGATAAGCCAACAAAGACAGAGATCAGGAGAGCAATTAATAAACTTAACAAGATGTGTTTGTGAAACACTTTGCGCCCGGTGGCAACAAAGTTCGAAAAAAGCTATTTTTAGCCTATAGGTCAATGTCGAGGTCATTGACCTTGGTATAATTTGAAAGAACTTGATTAGCGGCATGTGCATACCAAATCTGAAGTTTCAATCTCTCGTGGTTCAAAAGATATGGTTAAGGTTCAAAGAGGGTATGGAGTATGCATACCAATTATGAAGTCTCTATCTCATATGGTTCAAAAGTTATGGTGAAAGATGAAATAAGCTATTTTTAGCAAAAAGTCACAGTCAAGGTCACAAGGTCATTGACCTTGGTATCATTGGAAAATACTAAATTAGTAGAGTGTGCATACAAAATATGAAGTCTCCTGCATTTATTTCAATGTTGTTGTTGTTTTTCTTTCTTTTTTTTTTGGTGTGGGAGTGGGGGTCAGGGTTACATATTACACATTCCAGATTGTTTCTCCGTTAGCCAGGTGGGCCCGTTTTATTAAGACCAAATTTAATTCTTCATATAATTTTCAATTAACATTTTATCGAAAATTATTTTAAACTTTTTAAAAGGATTGTGGTAAAATATTTTTACACAAACAATTTCAAAGATAATTATTGATTTTTAAAAAAATTATGATCATCTGAAGTTTTGGGTCTTAGTCGTAAGTTCTTTTGTAAAACGGGCCCCTGCAGAAAGGCCCGATAATTGGCGACTCAATGCATGCCCAAAGTTTGTTATCACAGATTAAGTAATCGAAATAAAGTTAACTGATACTAGAAAGTTGCAATAGCATTTTGTCAATAGATAGTAGGAAAAAACACGAATGCAGCTGCTAGGAAACTGTCTGTAGCAATGTCATAGAGGATGTATCTCCTCATCAACACAATCACCTTTGGCGCAACACTCTGGGGTTTGAAAACTGACGTAATAAAATGTGAAGATAATCAACAGTGGTCATTTTCAAAACTAATTGGAGATCTTGTATTCATTGCCTAAATTTATTGAAATAAATTAAAACTAAACATGTTAACTTTGGGTTAAGCTGAAGTTGTTAACTTCAAGTTGAAAATTAAGAGCGATGATTTAAAATCAGACTAATGTACATTAGTTTATTTTCTGATTTGAAGCTTACTAATTTTATTTAAGGCAAACACCAGTCTGATTAAAACCAACCCCCTTCTCCTGACGAGTGAAAGGAGAAGGGGGCTGGTTTTAATCAGACTGCCCCATACACTTATTTTGATGAGTTTCACTGGAACTGAGTAAGGATTTCAACCCGTCTTGTTTATATGATTTTACAATGTCATGAACAGCGGCTTAAATGCATATAATACTGCAAATGGATTTATACATTGGGAGAGATCCTCGCTTGATTGTTCCAGCATATTTTGATTTTTGGAGTTTAATATCTACTTTTTTGACGTGATTGATTTTTCACACCCTGACTACAAATCAACATTAACTGTGCATCCCTTTTCTCTCTGAACCTATTTTGACATTAAAAAACAAGTACTCTGGATGCATATTTTTTGTCTGTAGCGAGTTTAATCATTTCCTAGGCCTATACCATTTTTTTTCAGGGACGAAACTGTATAGAATATTAGAAAAGGAAAGGCCTACCCCTTTTTGACGTCATTTTCAAGGCAATATTTGTTTGGTTACTCCATGTAAAATTTCCGATAAAATTTCATAGAAGTTCCAGAATGAAGTAAAAAATCCATATTTTATGGAACAATAGTGTCCCATACCTGAATTAACAGGATTTTTCTACGTCAAATGTTCATATCAAAATAGTTTTCCGCAGTTACACTTAGGTCGAAAAAACGTCGTTTTTGAGGTTGCGTTTCTGGACATACCATTGCTTACAAAAACTTGACTAATTTATTGAAAAAAAATTATAATTTGTGGTTTATTCTGTGGATAGAAAAGATGATGTTAACTAGATACTTGTATTTTAAAATTCATTGATATACCTAAAGCGGTTTAAATTTTATGGCACTAGTCCACGAACTTTTTGATATACCCCCCATACAGTTACACTGGGTTACAGCTACCTAGTATCTATATATATAGCGCGGATCTACAGGGGGGGGGGGGGGGCCTTATAGGTCACCTGAGTATTCTATAACCCCCCTTTGGAATTTACCATGTTAAAAAATGTATATACTAAAACAAGATAAAAGTTACAATGGACCCCCCCCAAAAAACGGGGCCACAGACCCCCCTGGTAAACGCGAATATGTGTGAAATGGGTATGAAAAGTGAAAGATTTGAGGCTATAGAAGTCACCACTACCCCCCTGGGGCCATAAAATTCACAATTTTAGAAGAGGCACTCTTGCACATCATAACCATGTACTTAGTTTATTTACTACCCAGGAACAGAGAAGATTTTTAAAGAAATAATGCATTTTCACTATATAATCTATATAGACCCGCCCTAGCACTAGAACCCCTGACCCTGGGGCCATAAATTTCACAATGTTGGTATTTTACTCAATGCTCATTACATTCATGCCACCAGTTTGCTTGCTTGATGTCCAGGAGTAAAGAAGAAGATTTTTAAAGATTGCAATAATTTTAGTGGTTTTGGCCCCACCCCTCAGGCCCCAGGGGAGCAGGGACCATAAAATTCACAATTTATGTTCCTCTTTACCCATAGATGCTGTGTACTAAATTTGGTTGAAATTGGTTCAGTGGTTTCAGAGAAGAAGCTGAAAATGTTCAAATATTAGCACACGACGGCCAACGGACGAAAACGGATAGCAATAGGTCGCCTGAGTTTACTCAGGTGACCTAAAAATCCTATTTTGGTATTTGGACGGGAGGGTGTGTGTACATATGTCAGGCTTCAACCGCTTTTTAATGCCATATTTTAGAAATACACTATTACATCACCCTTATTTGTCTCTACGGCATCAAAAAGTGAAAGGTGTCAATGGTCTTCAACGAGCACTTGCAATAGCAAAAAGTTACGTTTTGGAAAAATTTGTTTGGGGGGTAACTTTAGTGCCTGGCAGAAAAATCAAGATGCACCTTGACTAATTAATAGCCATTCTCTGTAACCACTTAAACTTCGTTGCCACGCATGGTCACCGATTTTGATGAAACTTAACAGAGGATTGCAATATATTGCAAAATACCTTTGACAAAAGTGATTGATGACAAGTTAACTGTTTGAAATTAAAATTTCAAGCTGATTACCAGACTTTAGTTTCTTTTCAAAAATTATTTTATCAATTGGATTTCAAGAATATAGATTCACCTACAAGATAGTGTTACCTTTCTTTTACAGCCAAGAACACTAGCTTCAACTGTTCAAGTGAAAACAAAATATTAAAATTTAATTCAACTTTATTAAATTAAACAAAGCAATGAACAGAGAACAAAACATGTAGCAATGTTTAACTAGAAAGGGAAAATAATCAACCAACAGCAATTTTCTAACAAGACTTAAAAACTACCTGTTTCAACTAAATGAAAGAAAATACTTTTAAAAAATATATTTCAAAGAACTCTGCACGCTTGCTTAATCTTCCATGGCCTAAATGTTGTTGTGTCTTAATGAAGATTGTAACACTCTTGTGTGGATTTGGAAAATGTTCTAGAATGAAGGAGTCATGGCCAAAAAGTGCAAAAACATGAAATGTTTATTTTGTAACAATTAACTCAGAATACTCCTTTGTGTTAAGTATAACCTCCTGCTGCTCAAGCTTCCATGTAAATTTTTATTTTAAAAATGTTACATTTCTGTGACCTTCATGCAGAAATTCAAACATCTGAACATTGTGACCTTGACTAATTAATGTCCTAAATGTTCTGGCTTATTGTCAACTTATCTGGCAAAAGAAAATAATTTTACACTTAGATCTAAGTGATTTTGTTAAAATGAACAAACTGCTTGTTTCACACTTGTTTCTTGCCAAATGCAACCTTTGAGCCATGCAAGCACAATATGAAAATGCTTTTAATGGATCATCAGCTACAGTTTACATTTACATCTTTGTTTGGGTCAGGTTTCTTCCATTCATTCAAAATTATCACAGACTTAATTGTAATTTTTTGTAGCCTAGTGTGTGAATTTGACCTTGTCTAAAAGACAATGATGTAATATCATTATACATGTAGGCACTTCTGGCAGAAAGCTACCTTTGTATGAAGTACGGTACTAGCCTATAAAATTCTTTTGGATTTCAAAAATACGTCCAGATAAGAATTTTACTTCTCTTATTTCAATGCTAGTTATGTACATTATGATGAAATAAAATACTTTTTAAAATTTTTACAAAACCTGACAAGGAGCACATATTCAAACTGTAGTTTTATCATTTCTACAAAGTCTAGAATTAAGCTTCAAAGATGAAAAAAAAAAAAGACATACAGCCTCCAGTATATCCTCCCAAACTTTGTTTTGAGGGAAGAAGAAAAGCCAAAGGAAGAAAGGAAAACACACTATACTAGCTAGACTAGCATTACATTATCATAAAATGGACATCTTACACAAATGTAGCCATCCTTTAAAAAAAACTTTTTTGTTTGCCCTCTCCCAACCAACAGACTAAAATGGTCCAACTCAAAACATTTTTTAACCTACAAGAAACAATATTTTTAATAAATTTTTTAAAAAGTTTTTTCAAGAATTTTCTCATCTCATTGACAAGTATGTTGACATTTTTCTTGAAAAAAAAAATCATCTACTTTTAAAATTATTATCCCAATTGTTTTTAACACAAAGTCAAGAGGGCAAAAAGAAGTCTTTAAAAGATGGCCTTACATACTTTTTTTTATACTAAAGACATTGATCATTCATGGCCACTATTTATTAAATCTAAATTCAGATCAAAGCATTCTCTTTTTTCCTAGTCAATTTCATTCCGAAAGTCTCTTCTTGTAGCCTTTGACTCAATTGAGCTAAAAAAAGGGGGTGATTAATTTACAAACACAAATAGAAAGTTTAACTTTTGTGGTTATAATTGTCAGAAAGTTAACATCTTTTTTTTTCTAAATATCATTAGAAAGCATAATAATGTGAACAAGCAAATGATCAATATTCATTAGTGATTTACAAGTACTCAAAATTATTGTTTAAAATAACCAGTAATTAGTGTTCAAAATCAAAATGCAAAAATTTCTTACACCTTCTTTTGTTTGGAAGAAAACTTTTTAAAAATAAAGCATTAAAAAAAAATTCCTACACCTTTGTTATTATAAAGACATGTCACTGCAATACACTGTATAAGCATACATATACTAACATATTTTTCTTTAAATACATAGACCGATTTTATTTTCATATACATTTCATTGTTAAGTTTGATTCATGAACTTAGGCTACAAGTCATACATTATATGTAAATGTGCTGAAATTACATGTGTACAAATAATCTTTTTTCATATCAAGAAATCATGCTTTATATCAATATATGTATTCTTAGACCTCCCCATGCCCATTAACTTCACTAATCAAGCAATGAGTATTTTACCCCATCTTTGGACTTTCAGTAGGGCGTGACTTTCTCTGTGCTACGTAATGGAGAATACTAGTACATGTAGATTCTCATTGGTTACGAAATTAATAACATAGGAACTTAAAATTGTTGTTGATAACGATCAGACGACTTATGCCCCACCTCTGTGCCGTGAGAGAACTTTTAATTGGCTATTTACTACACCAGTTGACATTCGGCCGCATTTCTATCATATGTATATTTCAACAGTGAAGGGAAGCTGTGTAAATTTCAGAAGCTAATTAGGTAACGTCGAGAATGCCAAGCCTTACTGAAAGTCCAAACTAAGCATGTAATTCTTCTACACACATGCCCTCGTCTGTGCAATAATGGTGAGAATTTGACAAAATGTGGGCAATCTCAATAGGATGAATATCTATTAGACAGAAATTTGAAAAATCTATAAAAAAAACTCTACAAATTTTAAACATATGCCCTGTTCACATGGAGAGTTCAATTCGATTTAAACGTCAGTTTACTGCAAATTAGCTTTGCTTAGCGTTCACATGGAGAATTTAATGCGAATTAGTTTAATTCGAATTAATTTACTGCACATTAAATTCCTTCGCATTAACTCTGTGTGAACGCTAAGCGAAGCTTATTCGAATTAAATTTTGATGCATGCATAAGGCCAGAACTGAGTCACAGTACACATGTTGATGGTTAGATTTAGGTATCTGTGTTACATTTGGTTCAAAAATCAAGGAAAAGCATGGTAATCACTAATTGTATCCCTGTAGCCACTATGATTCAAATGGATGGCTCTGCATACATGACGTGATTTACAAATGACGTCATAATAGCCTTACTGAATAGTCTTTTTGTAGTTATAAAATTTTAATTCGCATTAGTTTACTTCGATTTAGCTGTCGTGTGAACGCTATTTAATTGGCATTATTTCAATTCAAATTAGTTTACTTTGCATTAATTTACTGCGAATTAAACTCTCCGTGTGAACAGGGCATTAGATTATGGCACATCTTTCAGTCTTAGTAAGCTTTCCTGTCACTAATTGTGGCTACTGTTTCTCATTCATATTTCAATTAACGTTTGGTTAATTAAAAATACAATTAAGAATTGAATAACATTTCACCATATTTGTGTAGATTTGTTCAACTGACCTTCATTCAAGGTCTATATATACTGGTATATATCTTTATTCATTACTGGGAAGCTACTATTCATAGTTACATGTGTGTTTCAAGGTTATAAGCAACTCTAAAGATACGCATAATTTTTTTAAATTGTGAAAGAGATGTCATGGCTGTACCATTCAAGGTCAAGGTGACAGATTTTATCTTGTTAAATGTATTCCCTTCCACAAATCTGAGAAGCATGTCACCTTACCGAAAAGCATGCATCCTGACTGAAAAGCATGTCTCCTTACTGAGAAGCATGTATCCTGACTGAGAAGCATGTAATATCCTTACTGAAAAGCATTTATCTTGACTGAAAAGCATGTATCCTTACTGAAAAGATTTCCTTACAGAGAAGCATGTGTTGTTACTGAAAATCATGTATCCTTACTATAAAGCATGTATCCTTACTAAAAAGATTTCCGTAACATTTGTAATAACCAACGTTATAAACCTTGATCTTTCTTGAGGTGCTTAATATAGCTATTTCGACATGATCTCATGCTTCAATGTCTAAATAATCCAGTACATTACGAAATATATCAGTTAGATACTTAGTATATCTTAAATATACAGTACATACATCATTTTTGATTATAGCAATAAGATATTCTTAATCAATGTAACAATCACTTTTTATGGCACATTCTGTATCACATAACAAAATACATGTACCACATACAACAGCAAATCGCTATAAATTCAGTGTTTATGTGTACAGTGAGACTGACATGCTGGTGACAACTCTAGTATGTCACGTCTACTGTAAAATAACCAACTCTTCACATCAACTCTCTTATGTTTTTATCTTGAACCTTCAATAGGAAAAATATCAACGTAGGTGAAAAATACAAACATTTCTCTGATATTCACATATGAATATAATGTTTTTTATTTTCCATTAACTAGTGATTTAAAGTACAAGTATGTACAACCATTACAGCTAAAAATGGCTGACAAGTTTTAAAATACCAACACAACTCCTGTCATATACCATGATATTCTCCATATACCAATGGTTTGAGAACAAACAAAGCAAGTTTGTGCAGCTTGTTTAACATACCCGGTACTGGGTTATAGTAAAACTGATTGAAAAAAGGTCTTGAACCCATTGTTTGTTGAAGATTTCTACATAATGCACAACAAATATTCAACAATATTTCTGAAAAGTGATTTGTAATCTGATCCTCCGTCTCCAACAATAACAATTATCAGATTTGGCTTTCAGTGAGCCTTTCACTCATGAATAAAAAAAAAAATTCAAAAATCATAGCAAGTTGTTTCATGACACTGGTGGGATCTATAAACAAAAGATACTTAATTAACAAATAATTACAGGTATACTAGCTTAGGTACAAATTCATCCGTAACATATATGATTCTCATGACCTATTTGTAATCAACAATACAAGACATAGAAGAGAAATACATTGAAATGTTAATTTGTAATCAACAATACAAAACTTAGAATAGAAATATAAAGGAATGTTTAAGTCTTTTATGTAAAAAGGTTTTCCCTATCCTTAGCACAGGATGCTGCAGCTATCCTTCTTTCTCTGTATCTACGGATACTGAAGCTACTGGATACTGCAGGTATCATCCTTCCTCCTCCGTTCTGGATAGTCCATCCGTTCCACGCGCCCGGAAGACGTTCGGTAAGACAGACCAGGCGATTCTACTGGACTCACCTGAGAAGCAGGTAAATCGGGGGGTGTAGCGGGAGATACTGGTGTAAGATGTAAAGGGTTGTTGTACACCTGACCTACACTCACAGTAGGTTGAGCACCAGCATTCTGAGCACTAATCGCTTGAGTTCCATAGCCTTGAGCACTGCTAGAAGAAATGTAAGAACTGCTAGAAAAATTCTGGCCATAGCCAGAATGTGCATTAGCAGTCCCTGTATTTGAACTCTGAGCACTTGCTCTTAAAGACGTTGGCCTGCTCACAGGCATTGAAACTGGAGCAGGCGAAACAAGATCATCACCTTTCTCTTTATATGCTATCAGGTATTCTGGGTAGCTCTGGTTTCTGTCAAAAGTGACAAATATTGTAGGGTTGGCCATATTATCTACACAAGAATCATACCGCCTGTGACCTTCCATGATCGGGGGACATTTCATGTCCCTCTCCCCTTTGGTGTAGCTACCAATAAGAACCTTTGCTTTTAACATCAACCGCAATGGACCTCTGGTGTAGCAATTGCTGTACTTTGAAGTAGTAGCAAAGTATGACCCTTGACCATACATAGTGGCATTTTTCCCACTCAATCTAAAATCAAAATTGGTAGTACAAATTCCATAACAAGTGTTTATGGAATCTGTGCCATGAAAGAGACTTCTCTCATCCACGCTTCCACCTCTTGCCTCACAGATTCTTTCCATATTGGACTTCTTCCTATATAAAAAGATTAAACTTCAATTGCTGAAAAATTATTCTTTTTCCTTACCAAATTAAAAATTTTCCTCATCCCTACCCTTTCTCTTCAAATCCCCAAGACTTAAATATTTTGACAAGTAATAAGAGATTACTATTGTGTACATTTGTACCTTCATTTCATATGTCACATCAGCCCGATAGGCCCCTTAATTATCAGCTAAAAGGCCAAATGTTTACTTCAAATTATTGCTCATGCTTAATACAAAACATGTACAAAACACATATGTATAAAACTTTTTGAAATATACTGAATTCTGTATATAGGGTTATTTTTGCCCTGCTTTATTTTGGCCCTTTCACACCTGCAAACAATTTTGCCCTGTTCTGTTTAAAAAATTGGATTGATTGATTGATTGTATACTGTTTAACGTCCCTCTGCAGAATATTTCACTGATATGGAGACGTCACCATTGCCGGTGAAGGGCTGCAAATTTAGGCCTATGCTCGGCACTTACGGCCTTTGAGCAGGGAGGGATCTTTATCGTGCCACACCTGCTGTGACACGGGGCCTCGGTTTATACGGTCTCATCCAAAGGACCGCCCCATTTAGTCGCCTTTTACGACAAGCAAGGGGGTACTGAGGACCTATTCTAACCCGGATCCCCATGGGGCTAAAAAATTGGAAGTTGAAGTTGTATTCATGAATTCATCCCATTTTAAATTCACCCAACTGAAGGTAGGGCAAAAGGGCCGAAAATAAAATGGAGGCAAAAATTTCCCTGTATACAATATTTAATTCCTGTAGATGGCAAATTTACAAAGTCATTATAGAAATCTCAGGAGACTTGACTTACATTTTGTATTCGTTCCAGAGCTCCAGATTCTGTACACGATAAATATTGCAGATCTGGAAATTGTCCTCCTTAAGTGTGCTGAAGAAAGAAGATTTGACGTCTACGAACTCTTTGTTTGATTCTTCTAAGTCCACTAATTCAAAATCATGTTCCAAGTCCCATGGGGCCCAACCAGGGGGTCTGGAGCCGGGATAGGATATGGCAAGGTATGGAGGACTGAAAATCATTGGAGACTGATTAGAAAATATTTACAAAAATTAAGTAACCTGAGTCTGGAAAAATTTAAGAAATCTAAGAAAATGTAAATAATCCAACCTACAGAATGAACTATACCTACCTCTGAATTGCTTGTAATCATTCTCCTTCCCCCCCCCCCCCTCCCCCACCAAAGAAATGGATTATCAATTTTATTTTCATAGTGTGATTACCGTATAATCCCTATTAACCGCCCCTGCCCCTATAAGCGCCCCCTTAGGTATTTTTCAATTGTCAGGAAATAAGGGCCCCCTGTACAGTGATTAAAATCATCTAGAATCGTATAAAAAATGAAAGTGAAAATAAAACTTGTCTATTAACCGATTTCTTAGTGGAAAATGAATATTAATTTAGCATTTGGGTGAATTATCTTCACTTCCAGTAAAGTTAAAAATTATTATAGTGGTTCCTTTTATTTATTTTTTATTTTCAAAAGATTTTTAAAGTTAGAATATGACATTAAATATCATAAAGAGAATATCAAAATAATCGCCCACTTTTTGCAATTTTCTAAGTGCCCGGGGCGGTTAATAGGGATTATACGGTACCATGTGCTTCACTATTTTAACCAGTTAGGGATTTATCTAATTGAAAGGGCAAAGAGTGTCTGTCTGTAATTTTTTTGTTGTTTAACTGCAACATGGGGCCTCAATTTATACAGTCTCATCTGAAGGATGTTGTCTCTACGTCCCACAGTGAAATTCAAACCTGTTTACTAAGGATCAACTCCTTACTTTGTGACTCTACATCATCATCATCATCATCTTCTTCCTGTACACCCTGTGGTGTACAGGGCAGCAACAAACTTCACCACCCTTTCCTGTCCTGGGATAGCCTTGTCAACCATTCCCACGGTCTGGTGCATTGCCTTCATCTCGCCTTCTACTGTCCTTCGCCATGATGTTCTAGGACTCCCCCTCTTTCTTTTGCCCTCTGGTGTCCAATTCAGTGCTGTTCTAGTTGTTGACTGGGGGTCTTTTTTGAGAACACATCCAATCTACCTCCATCGGAGCTTGGTTATGATGGTACCCATGTCCTCTTGTTTGCATCTGCTCAGCAGGTCTTCATTTGTTATCTTATCGGGCCAGAAAATCCTGAGTATTCGGCGGAGGCAGGTGGTATGGAAGGATCATGGTTTGCCAAGATCTGTCTCTGTTATTCTCCAGCACTCCGATCCATAAAGGAGAGTTGACATAACACGTACAGCTCTGGTAAAGCTTCAGCTTGGTGCTGGTGCTGTACTGTGCAGACCTCCAGATGTTATTCATTTCCCTAAATACTCTCCTGGCCTTGCCCAGTCTGCTGTGTATGTCCTCCTTTGTGCCGCCCTCTGGTGTAATGATACTACCCAGGTAAATAAAGTTATCTGTCTGGCATAGTTCCTCCCCACTGATCTTAACAGGGGCAGGCAATTCCACATTAAGTGTCATTGTCTCCGTCTTCTTTGTACTGATGCGTAGTCCCACTTGATGTCCATAGGTTTGCAACCGGTTGGTCTTCTCTTGGATATGCTGGTGTGTATGAGACATTAGAGCAAGTCATCTGCAAAGTCCAAATCCTCCAGTGTTGAAAACAGGCCCAGTGGATCCCCCTTGGAGAGTCTTCTGTTGTCTTCCGCATGACCCAATCGATGACCAGGTTGAACAACACTGCAGACCTTACGCATCCTTGTCTGACTCCAGTTTTAACATCGAAGAAGGTGTCATTGTATCCTACTGAGCATTTAAAGTTGTTATAAAAGCTCTTTATCAGGTGGACCATTTTAGATGGAATACCATAATGGCGTAGGATGCTCCAAAGGCTATCTCGGTGTATGCTGTCAAATGCCTTCTCAAAGTCCACGAAGTTTACATACAGTTGTCTCTGCCACTCTGTGCACTGCTCTTTGATGTTGCGGAGTGCATCTGCTCAGTACATCCTCTATGTTTCCTAAATCCTGCTTGCTCTTTCCTCAATACAGCATCAACGGAGTCTGACATTCTTTTGATGATTATTTTGGCCAGGATCTTACTTGGCACAGACAGTAGAGTAATTCCCCTCCAGTTGTTACAATCACTCAGGGCCCCTTTCTTTGGGATCTTGACAATCACCCCTTTACACCAATCATCAGGTACTTTCTCTCCATCCCACACAGTTGTGAACAGTGGTTGGAGGATGGTGGCTGCTATTCCAGGATCTGCTTTAAATAGATCTGCATCAAGATTGTCAGGTCCTGGAGACTTCCCGTTCTTAAGAGTCTTGACTACATTCATTATCTCCTCCTTAGTTGGTGGGTCAGTGTCGATGTCCAGATCCTCTGTGGCTTCTGGTACGACAACAGCTTCATCAGGTGATGGTCCATTAAGAACTTCGCGGAAGTGATCAACTCATCTCTCTTCTTGATCTTTTTCTGATGTCAGCAGTGTTCCATGTTTGTCTTTGATAGGTCCTCCTGTGTTTCCTATAAATTTGCCACACACTCGTTTCGTGATCTTGTACACTCTCCCTTGCTCTCCCCGTACTGCTGCTTTCTCTGCCTCAGCTGCAAGTTGGTCCATGGCTTCTCACGGTGTGCAAGCTTCTTGACTCTCTTGTTGACCTCACCATAAAGCTCCTCTTGCCTCTCACGCAGTCGTGGGGACTTGGTCTGCAGCATCTTTTTCTTAATTTCCTTTCTCTCCTCTATAGCAATTAGAGTCTCCTGCTGTATCCAGTCTTTGTTGGTGTTTCTTTTTGCGAAAGCCTAATTTCTTTTTGCTGCTTTCAGGGTATACATGTAGTTGGGTCACTTGCTTCCAGGTGTTGTCCACATTGGCCTCCTCACCTTCATCATATGCATCTTGTAAGATCTGGAATCGGTTTCTTAATTCCCTGATGAAGGCAACTTTCACGGTGTTCTCTCTCAGTCTCTGTATGTCAAAACGTGTTTGAGTATTAGGCCTTACTTCAGCTTTTTTTCAGTTTGATCTTAATGAGTGCTGTCACTTGGTGATGGTCGCTGCCTATGTCTGCACTCCGCTTGACCCTAACATCTAATAGAGAGCGTCTCCACATGCCATTGATCATCAAATGGTCAATCTGGTTCTTGTCTCTTCCATTTGGTGAGTTCCAGGTCAGCTTGTGGATATCAGGGTGTGTAAAGAGGGTTCCTCCTATCACTAGGTTGTTCATAGCACGGAAATCCACCAGTCTTTCGCCATTATCATTCCTATTCCCAACCCCCTGATTTCCCATGACTCTTTCGTAGTCGGTGTTGTCCTTTCCGACCTTAGCATTGAGGTCCCCCATGATGATAAGTAGGTCGTGCCGTGGGGTTTTCTCTGTCTCCGCCTGTAGCTGACTTTAGAAGTTATCCTTGTCTTCATCATTACTGTCATTCGTTGGTGCGTAACATTGTATTAATGTGGTGTTGATGTGCTTGCCCCTTAATCTTGCGCTAATTAATCTATTATTTATGGGCTTCCATTCCAACAGACACCACTCTACACCTTTCCTGAATATGATGGCCACTCCTTCACGGCGTAGGTTGTCATATCTACCAGAGTAAAGGACAGTTTCTCCTGTGGTGGTTCTCATCTTTCCAGATCCAGTCCATCTGCTCTCACTCACTCCTAGGACATCTAGATTAAACTGTCTCATCTCAGATGTTACCTGTGCCAGCTTGCCTGTCTCATACATTGTCCTCACATTCCAATGTCCTAGTCTGAGCTTGGTTTTAGTGGTGTTCAGGACCTCCCCCATTCTGCTGGTAACGTCCTTATGGCTTTGATTGCCAGCATTCATATGAGTCTTATTTAACTCGGAAGGCCTTTCACAGGGTGTAGTAAAGGTTTTTCTTGTTGCTGTTTCGGTAACTTTCTCCTTTTACAGGGCAGGGTTGTTAGCCCTGCGCCCAACACCCAACCTTGAGTAACAGGGTAATTTGTTTATGGTTTCCTTCCACTAGATCTATCAATATTATAATTTAAAAAAAAGTATTTCATAATCATTTATTTTTATAACAATATGTCGCGAATTTAAAGCTTAGAAAATTGTCGTCACGCGCAAAATCCCCTATGGGAATTTTCAAAAGTTGGCATGTATGTCTATGGCTTTATATGGCTAACGAGTCTAGATCTGCCCGTGATTTTTTAGTAAGAGTTTATCTTCTCCTAGGTAGCTGCATTTCCAGGCTAACGTCCCCACCTGGACGGCCATTTTCCGTCGCATGGACGGAGTTGCCAGAAGTGTGGTTATACCATTCAGCCTTGTTGTATTCCAGATTTCTGTAGGGTTTACTCTTTAGCCTTTCCTTCTCCCAAAGGTATCTACAAGGCAGTAGTTCATTGCAATTTACCCATTGCTGGGAACTAGGATTGCAGGCACCAGGGCATATCCACTCGCCGGTGGGCCATGCATGCCGTGCATTTAGGGGCCTAGTCTCCTCCAAGACCCTGTGGTTCTGCTTGGGGCCGCAAGGTACCCAATTTCCATCCGCTACCTCGAGGAGGATCCCATATCTGGGCCACATAGGTCTAACTGTGGAGAGGCTATACCTGGCAGATAAGACTTACAAATATAATTTTGCTCATCTTTCACAGCAAGCTGCTAGCCAGGGGCGGAGCTGAAGGCGAGAGTGACAGACACAGACAGACACACACACTGTACGCATCACACAGTCATTTAGCAGACTTGTGACTCTACAGCAGAGGCTCTAATCACTACACCAGGTAAATGACTCTGCGATTTGAGAAAGGGAATGCCCAAAAAATCAAGATCTTAATGAAATGCAATTCTAGCTAACTTTGTCCTGTGGGATGTGGCAAAAAACCATTCAAACTGATACAGTTTCATTATTACCTGGTAATTGTTTTCGTCACAACCCTCAGGACAAAGGGAGACAGAACACAGTTTTTGTTCCCCTTTATCTACAGAAGGTGGAAACCCTAATTGGTTGAAATTTATTCATTTGTTCCAGAAAAAGCCAAAAATGTTCAAATATTTTGCTGGATGCCGTTCATTATCTTTATTCCCCTTCTAATTTTTATAACCTGTTTCTACAGGTATAATAACTTACAAGGCTTTTGCTGCCACATCTGCCAGCGAGAGAAACACTGGTCGACGGAGAATCTTGCGAACTTTATCTGTATCAATATTCGTCTGCTGCAAACCTGCAAAATCTATCCGATACTTAAATCGGTAGCTTTCTCTTGTAAAAAGATAACTCTTTTGTCCGCTGAGATATTTCTTCTCCAATGTGTACTGGAATCTTTCCTATGAAAAAAAAACAGTAAAATTGTAAACACGCATATGAGACTGAAAATGAACTCCAAAGTTGAAGGTTACATTGGATGTTTTACTTTTTTAAAATAGTCAATCTGTTCTCTGCACATTCAAATGTTTAATCGGTTTACTATAAACAATGAATTGCAGATTTATAATCAGATGTTACAAAAATGAAAGAAAAAGTGAGCTAGCTCACATACCCCATGCTCCCCCCAAACTTGACAGTGAAACACATAATGAAAGGCACAGTGTACTTTAAATACATAGTATAAATCAAAAAGGGCAATAATTGCAAAAAATCTTCACATCAAAATGTCTTACATATGAGGACATTTAAATGTGGAATGAAGCTTCTAGATAAATAATGGAATCAAAATTTCTTGGCATTATACAAATCCAAACATTAATTTGAAGTAATTGGGGGGGGGGGGTTGAGAAATTTTCTTGAATAATGGGCAAAACTCTTTTGGATAAAAGAAATTATGTACAACAGTTTAAGAGGAGTGGTGCTGACAAACTGTTCATCTCTATATTCAAAATATGGCCAAAAAGTCTAAGTTGGAAAGTGTGGAAATTCCCGGAAAAATAAAGGAATCGGAATTTCCTGGAAATATGCACATCTACATATTGTGTCCTAAATATCTGCAAAGTTTGACGAAATTCTGTGCAGTGGTTTATGAGGAGTTGCGCTGACAAACTGTTCATCTCTATATTCAAGGTATGGCCAAATGCCTAAGTTAAAAAGTGCGGAAATTCCCGGAAAAATAAAGGAATCGGAATTTCCTGGTAATATGCACATCTACACATTGTGTCCTAAATATCTGCAAAGTTTGACGAAATTCTGTGCAGCGGTTTATGAGGAGTTGCGCTGACAAACTGTTCATCTCTATATTCAAGGTATGGCCAAATGCCTAAGTTAAAAAGTGCGGAAATTCCCGGAAAAAATAAAGGAATCGGAATTTCCTGGTAATATGCACATCTACACATTGTGTCCTAAATACCTGCAAAGTTTGACGAAATTCTGTGCAGCGGTTTATGAGGAGTTGCGCTGACAAAAAAAGAGGACTGACTGACTGACTGACTGACGGACTGACTGACGGACGGGTCAAAAACATCATACCTCCCGCAACTAGTTGCATGGGGTATAATTATCCTGTGAAACCTGAAATACGTGTGATTCTGACACAAATTAAGGAGAAGAATTTACTAAGTTATTTAGAACTTGTTTTCAGTAAACTACATTGTATGTTCAAAACAAACAAAAACACAAATCTGTTCATCAACAAAATACTCTTTGTTAATGCAATCTAATAGAATATTAACCTATAACAACTAACCTTGTCATACAGAACCCACTGCTTGGCATCATCCTGGTAGTACCACCTCCACTGGGTGTGGAAGGAGCCGACAGCCAACGGCTTCCTCTCCTTAGCGAACGACGCCGTGGACAGACGCCTGATGGCAAAAACGTCTTGTGTACTCAGTGGTTCATCACCGTGGATTATCTCATACACGACTCCCTTCTCCTCGTTAAATTTCATGTGAACCCTGTATCTTCTCTCTTGATATTCCACCTTAATACAAGAATATGATATATAGCTGTGTTCAAGAAACCAACATTTACTATAAAACAGGTTCACTGTTTTAAATAAATTTCCTTACTTCCCCTCCTTCCACATTCCCTAGACTGCAGTAGCTTTTTTCAAGTTTCTGGTTTTCTTCGTCACCAAAGCTGACCCAGTCGCCATAGATACGGATCTGCCAGAGGTAGGGGAGGGGGGTGTGATGTTTATCGCAGTCCCTCCCTTGGCAGGCTGCCAACAAACTACTGACACAGATGTCTTTTTTGTGGGCATCCTTTTCTGTTATACTCTTTGATGTTGCCTCCGGTGCAATATTACCTACAATGACAAAAAGTAAGGATGATGCGAGGTTTAATGTACAGTGAAAACTGTCTAATCCGACACCTGAATAATCCGACACACTGTGAATTCCGACGTTAAATTTCTTTCCCATTTTAGTATTTGTTTTTAACACTGTGCAATCCGACACCCTGTCTATTCCGACAAAAAGTTTGTCTCCCAGTGCATGTCGGATTAGACAGGTTTCACTGTATTTATTATAATAGCACTATACGGATTATCCTATTCATCAATGATAAACTTTTGTAATGCCAAATGCCTAATTATAGATATTAATGTGACAATTGATATCAAATTACACTATACTGATAAACATTGAAACATTTTTTTTATTCTTTTGTTTTTAGAAAGAAAATTCATGTTGCACCTGTTGCAGAAAAAGTATTTGTACTTTTTTCCTACAATACATGTAGCTGCGATGTAAATTTCCATACTTACAAACAATTAAACAATTAAAAACTTTCACTGTTTATATTTATATCTGTACAAAAAATGACCTAAATTAGGATAAGCAGATTAAACATTACTATATTGATATATTCATCATTGTATGTTTCATTGATGGAACAGCCACTGCTCAAGAAATCTGTTGAGGTAAAATGCTTAATGTTGTTTACCAATTGATGACCCACAATGGTTTTCTCTAGACATATTTATAGGAGAAAATATTTAGTTGATGTAAAAATAATTTTACAAACATGATGTACCTGGAATGGATGCCTCAGTGTCTGGCTTTCTACCACACTCCAGGAATTCTGTGTCCTCCACGCCAGCTGCCCATCTGTCTTTTCTATCCAGTCTTCTCTTCTGGGGGTAGACTTCTTCTGTTGACTTCGAAAGGTCTCTTCCATAACTTCCACGGTAGACATCCTTTTCCTCTTCCTCACCATCATCTTCCTCAATGTCGTCATCATCTTCTTCTTCTTCATCTTTATCATCATCCATGTCATCAGACAACTCCAATTCATCCACATTACTCATGATTTCAGAAAAATCAACGGTGGACGCTCCATCACCAGGGTCCTTTTTGCTTCTTGGTTTTCGTGGCATGTTGCTGATAAACTTCAGCAGGGCTAATTTCTCCTTGGTCCACTTGTCCATCCTGTGCCATGAGAGGACCCACAAGTTGTGAGAGGTCTCTAAATCATGTCCTCGAGGACAGTTAGAATCTTCACATTTATCTCGAATGTAGTTAAAGCAGACGTGAAGATAAGGACAATCATCTCCCTCTGGACACCTTTTTCTGTTGCAAATCTGGGGATACCTACACTGTACAATGGTTTTTATTTCTGCATCTTTAAAAGGATTAAGGCCAAGTTTTGCTTTCAAGCCCCTATTGTGACCCTTTGTAAATGTATGCCCTTTTCTACATTTGACGCCACGTTTGCACCATCCATTCAAGAAGAAGTTACAAATATGAAAATGGCTGCAATCCTTACGCTCACATTTCTTTTTTCCTCCAAAACCCATGTGATCAACACAAACTGTTGCATTGATGAGAAAGGGTCTAATAATTAGAGGTTTGTTGTTCTTTTTTAAAATGGATAGTCGCTTCCTAGGTTCCATTATCCACTCATCGAAATTCGGAGGCAAGGGAGTATATTCCTCTTTGAATTTTGCTATGCTGGCACACCCTTCCATTGTACTCACCAGGAATTTGAATACCTTAGCCTCTGAGAAGCTAACATCTGCATCATCGTCAAATTCTCGACTGGGCTGCTCTGTCATACCGTCTTGGCTAGACTCCTGACCTCTGTCACTTCTCCCTGGATCACCTCCCCTTCCTCCTCTACCCCTACCTCTGCCTCCTCTGTGACCCCTTCCTCGTGCAGACTGTGAACTCTGACTGCACACACTTTCATTGTCAGAGTCATTCCTTTGGTAGGAATCTCTATCACCATTGGATTGATTAGGAGCATTTCTTCTCCTGCCTCTTCTCCTGTTACCACGACCTCTACCACCTGACTGTGAGACATGGCTGCACACACTCTCATTGTCAGAGTCATTGTCCATATCACCCTCTCCTGGCATTTCTTCCCCATCTTCCAGTATACCCGTTCCTCCTCTCCCCTTCCTTCTTCTTCCACCTCTACCTCTTCATCTCTGAGGCTCTTCACTTCCACCACTGTCCTCTTTCTGCCTACTCATACCACTCTCACTGTTTTGTCTTTCCCTTTGTTGCTCCTGCCTGCTTCCACCTTGTGCCCCTTGTTTCTTGTTTCCCTCTAACATTTCATCAATGAGTTTCTCATCCTCAAGTTCATCATTCTTTTTCTGTTTTACTTTGGACTCTGTACTTTTTTCTTTCCTCTCCTTTTGTTCTTTTTCTTCTTCCTTAGGACCTTAATAAGATAAGGAAAAGAATATATTTAAACATCCAATAATTAATCTTGCAGTTTCTGTTAATTTTACAAAAATGTAACTGTTGTGAAATAATATCACCTTATGAACAATTAGAAGAATTAGATGTTTGTATATTTAGTTAAACAAGAGATGTTTGTAAAACACTTATGCCCTCCTCCCCAAAATGATTGGAATTTTTTTTAAGTCCAAGGAGCATAACTCTATCCAAAATGGCTCGATCCAGTCCAAAACTAAATTGACCTAGATATTTTTATGATAATTCTGTATACCAAATTTCATATCAATATAAGCAACCTCTGCAAAGAAAATGAATGGAAACCGATGGACCAACAGACAGACAATCAGCTTAATATCTGCAAGTGTTTAGAAAAATTTGTGGAAAACCAAGTGGGACAAACAGATGGAGAGCTAGACAGATGGACAGATGCAAAGGAAAGCTATGGTACTCTTCGATTTCACCAGTAGGAGACTAATAATGAACTTTTAAGGACAGTTGATACAAAAAAAAACAAAAAACAGAGGGAGGCCTTGATTGTTTTTTTGTTTGCAATTGTTCGGAATAATATATCTAAGATATCAAGAAATTGTAAACTTTATTCAATTTTTTTTATCCTTTAAAATTAAATCTATTTTCAAAAAATGAATGAAAAATTAAAATCAGTGATTTAAGTTATTCATTTTCCTTATATTTAAACATTAAATGTTATTTTAAAGATTATCAATCTGAGTTCTTTTTTTTTAAAAAAACTTTTGTTGTTATTCTGATAACATATTTGTGGCTAGATGCATATTGCTAAAGATTGATTGTCCAGATATAACTGAAATTTTTTTTTTAATGGATCAATGTGCAAATTAATTACGGTAAGTCCTTATTTTCTCTTTGCCAAGACGTTGTTTTAAGAGCTCGCGAAACATGGCGCTTCACAGAGCTCATTGTAAGTTTCATCTTTTCTGGCCCAGTGGTTCTTCAGAAGAAGATATTTTAAAGATGTCCAAAATTTTTCAGCATTCTTCAGTATTTCTCCTCGAAAAAGGGTGTGGTATTTCCTATGAATAAGCTTAAATCCCCTTTACTCAAGGAAATTTTATGGCAAGTTTGTTAAAATTGGCCCAATGGTTCTTTAGAAATTCAAAATATGAAAAGATTACATATCATGATAGATGGATGCCGGACACTCTTTGATCAGAATAGTTAATTACATGAGCCTCAGGTGAGCTTCAAAGGCCTAAAATGTTTATAGAGCTGCTAACAGCATACTTCAATTTGAATACTCAAAATGATGTTAACTCAACTTAACTTGAAGCATAAAAAAGAGCAAACCTTCCACACAGATGATATTAAAAAGGTCCTTCAAGGCATCTTCTGCTGCTTTTTTCTGTGCGTCTTTTTTGGTTTGTGCATATCCTTCATAAGACTTGCCATCAACCAATGCAATAACACACACAAAATCATTATTGGTAGGGCAGTCCCTGTATTCAACACGTTTCTTCATTTCATTTAAAGCCATCACTGGATGCTTGGAAACAAACTTTGCTGAACCTGAAACATTTCATGACTGATGGTCAGGTGTATTATGCACATCTGATTTATCTAGTTTCTATTTCTCAACAATATTATATCTGTCTAGTTGGAAGTAAAATTTTGCTTTAAATAATGCTATTACTTCACCTCTTTTTGTCTTTAATATTGATTTTTAAAGCAAATTCTTTCCAGTAAAATAAAACTGATACCAGCTGATGCCTCAGGATTTAGTGGTAGAAGTGGTCTTGGTGGTGCCTGTGGAAGATAGGGTTTAAATCCAAAATTGGGCTGTTGCTGCCCTGGATAATTGGGCTGTTGCTGCCCTGGATAATTGGGCTGTTGCGGCCCTGCATAATTGGGCTGTTGCTGCCCTGGATAATTGGGCTGTTGCTGCCCTGCATAATTAGGCTGTTGTGGCCCTCCATAATTTGGCATCCGTACTTGCTGGGGTGGTGGCTGATACATTTGATTTCCCATTTGAGGAGGTCTGAAAAAATCTTGTGATTGTGGAGGTATTCCAAGAAGAGACCCTGGCTGGTTAATCGGTTGACGTACATTAGAACCTATGGGCAGACTTGGATAATATTGCTGATTATTTCCAGGCTGGAAGTTCTGTTGCCCTGGCCCTGTAAATAAGGCAAAAAACTACTGTCACAAAAAACTAAACTAATCAAAAACAGATATTGTGAGATACCATGTGCTGGAAATCATATGTTGGTAGTTAAAGCTTTAAGCTTTTTTCAATGTGTAATGCTTTATTAAATAATCCTGGTGGGAGCTTTAGTTTTGACCACACAGCTTCCTTGCCTCAACACTTTAAAGTTATATTTTTAAAGCTTCTTTTTGTGAAAGTTCTTTTATTATCAAAATCAGAAGTCTCTGTCGAGACTGAAGCTCTACTGGTTTTTACTTAAAGGAAAAGGAAGAGAAAAGCAAAGGAAGAGAAAAGTAGCAGTTGGGAATTGAAACTTTACAATACATCAATAAATAGAATAATGATCCTTGATTAAATCTCTTTATGTTCTTAGTGTAGTCTACTTACATGCCCCATTATATTATAATCAGACTAAAATTGTATTTGGAGTAACATTTTGAAAGTATTTCACATAAATTTCTATTTTTAGTAACCATGGCAACACCATTCATCAAATCAAAAACCAATATTTAAAATTTTGTATCTTAGTGTAGTCTTCTTGTGAGCCAATTTATACTGAAATCAGACCAAAACTGTAGGAGTAGCATTTTGAAAGAATTTCATAGAAATTCTATTTTTAGTAACCATGACAACACCGTTCATCGAAATCAAAAACTGATATAAAGAATTATGTACCTTAGTGTAGTCTACTTGTGTGCCAAGTTATACATGTATTGAAATCAGTCCAAAACTGTAAGAAGAGTAGCTTTTTGAAAAATTGTTTACAGACAGACAGCCGGACGCTGGACACATTACTCTGGTCTCTGACCATTAGAGCTAAAAAATTAAGAGAAAAACGTTGGTTAAAAATTAAATAAAATGACTTACGCTGTACTGGATGTCCTTGATAGCCACCCCTAAAAAATTCACTGCCACCTTGTGATCCACCTCTGGTGTTTCCTGAGGGATTTCCTCTGCCTGAATGCCCACCACGCTGTCCAACATGTGATCCACCTCTGGCATTTCCTGGGGGATTTCCTCTTCCTGACTGCCCACCACGCTGCCCTCCATGAGATCCACCTCTGGGCTTTCCTTGATTACCAACCCTCGAGGATCCACCTCTTCCTTTATTGTCACTCATATTCTCTATGATAATACAATGTAGATTTTAATATACCATTTGATATAACAGGAGAGGAGAGAAACATGATGGATCAAACTGTGGTTCAAACCTAGGCCCCGTTAATCTCAAGTACTATACTGATTTGATATGCAAATTTTTGAACTTGGTTAATCATAATGTAAACAAAACATTATTATCAATCATCAGTGATGTTCTTTATATATCACAAGATAATTACACTTTAAATAAAACATAGCAAAAATGCAGACAGGTGATTTGATTTTCAAAAAAACTTATGTTTTAAAATTAGAAGTTATTTGGGAAAACAAAGAGAGATAACTCTATAATTTTGGTAAAACTCATGTTTTTCGCTTTAAAAACAATGGAAAAAGGAAAATGTTTTTAAAACATATTTTCTCACTTGAACAAAAATTCTTTTTTATAGATACATGGGCTCAACTGGAGTATTATACGGAATAAATAGTTCCGGCTGTAAATCCCTTGTAGAAAATAAATGCGCATTATAAATAGCCACACAAAAAAAAAAAGCAGTCAATGCATAGACACGTTGACATTGACAAATTTATTAAAAAAAAAATAATAATAAAAACTAAAGAACTGACATTGCATTGACACGTTGACATTGACAAATTAAAAAAATTCAGTGCATTGACACGTCGACATTGACCAATTGAAAAAACTGTCAATGCATCGACACGTCGACATTGACAAATTTAATAATTGTCAATGCATCAACACGTTGACATTGACATATTAAAAAACTGTCAATGCATCGACACGTTGACATTGACAAATTTAATTTTGTTCCCCAAAAGTTTGTCAACATTGACAATTTTTATCTGTTTCTTATCAGCGTTCCCCAAACGAAGTTGGGGAACATATTGTTTTTACTCTGTTTCTTATTATTATTATTTTTCTTCTTCCTGGAAAATTTTGTCACGAGTGATTTGTAAACTACACATCCGACTAAGGTAATCACTCATTTCAGTTTTTAGGGTCAGTCACATGTTATGTAGATTTGCCGTAAGGTCATTTTGCGCGCACGTGCTTGCAAGAGCGCGCACGTGCACCACATGAAATGACCAATATAATGGATATTGCTGTAACTTTTCTTTTTCTTGATGAATTTTTTTGAAACTCATAATGTAAGGATACATTAGTAGTGTAGACAAGATGGCATGGTCAAAATAGCAAGATCTCACGCGCATGCACGTGCGCTTCGCTCTGATTGGCTGAAACTAAAGTCTCAATATCTTGCTTGTTTCTTGTCATAATCTTTTGAAATTTTGGACATAGTCCTACATTATGAAGATCTACAGCATTACATATAAAAATTTTCATGAAAGCATGCGCATGCTCTCGTGCTGCAATCTGATTGGCTGAAACTTTAAATGGCTTTATCTCCTTTGTTTTTTGACGAAATGCTTTGAAATTTAAAACATAGTCATGCATTAAGATATCCTAAAATATGATATAGGAAACATTCATGAAATCAACATGCACGTGTGCTGCAATTGATTGGCTGAAACTTTAAATGGCTATATCTCCTTTGTTTTTTGAAAATGTTTGGAATTTTAAAATAAATTCATTTAGATATTCTTCAATACGATAGAGATAAAAATTTATGAAATCACGCGCATGCATGTGTGCTGTAATCTGATTGGCTGAAAATTCAAATGGATGTAACTCCTTTGTTTTTCAACCAAAAAGGATGGGATTTAGAACATTGATAAATATAAGGGACTTCTACAAAAAGGTGTAGTCATTATGCACGTGCTTCCACGTGCGTGCACGTTAAATGAGTAAAATTAAAAATACACTCGAATGAGTGAATTTTTTAATACTTTTGGATTAAATGCTTTAATATTAATATATTAAAATGTGTTAGATATTGTAGACAAGATAATATGGTCGTTACGCACATGAACACGCGTGCAATGCCTGTTTTTAAATATATTTTGTATTTCTCTAGGAAGATCTTGATTAAGTCTAAATTCCATAAAGTATTTCTTATCTAATAGAGATTACAGGGAATATGGCATCAAAAGGGAGTTGGGGAGCGTTTGGGGAAAAAATAAAAAATACGTTACAATTAGCACTAGTTATTATTATTTTTTTTACTTATTTGTTTTCACTGACTTTTTTGTCCCCGAGTGTTTTTATAGTTAAACTGAGCTAAAACCTTTTTAGGGTTAATAGGTGTGTAAATGTATGTGCGGAAATTTTGCGCGCATACGCCTGCACGTGCGTGCGCGTGAAATTTGAATTGACTGATATAATTAATATAGCTATAACTTTTACCTTTTTTGATGAAATGCTTTGAAACTCATTACATAAAGATATATTAAAAGTGTTAATAATATACACTGTCAAATTAGCACTTTCACGGCATGCACGTGCGCCTTCCTAGATTGGCTGAAAAAAATTCTCAATATCTCTTTTGTTTTCCAACGAAATGTTTTGAAATTTTTAACATTGTCATGAATTAGGATGTCCTACAATATAATATGGAAAAAAATTCATGAAATCACGCGCATGCACGTGCGCTGCAATCTGATTGGCTGAAACTTTAAATGGCTATATCTCCTTTATTTTTTGACGAAATGCTTTGAAATTTAAATCATAGTCATGCATTAGGATATCCTGCAATATGATATACAAAAAATTTCAAGAAATCACGCGCATGCACGTGTGCTGCAATCTGATTGGCTGAAACTTGAAATGGCAATATCTCCTTTGATTTTTGATGAAATTCTTTGAAATTTAAAACATAGTTATGCGTTAGGATATTCTACAATATGATTTAGAAAAAAATTCTTGAAATCACGTGGATGCACGTGTGCTGCAATCTGATTGGCTGAAACTTGAAATAGCTATAATTCCCTTGATTTTCAACCAAACAGGATGGGATTTAAAACATAGATAGATATAAGGGCCTCCTACAACCAAGATATGGTCATCATGCACGTGCATCTCAAGTGTCGCACGTGCGTGCATTTGGAACGAGTGAAATTGAAAATACACTTGAATGAGTGATTTTTAATACTTTTGTCACATATAAAGTATATTTTAATATATAGAAAGCGTAGACAAGATTATATGATCATTATGCACGTGCATTCACATGGGCACGCTTGCAATGTTAAAATTTGAATATAATTGGTATCCTTTTGGGAAAACGTTGTTAAAGTCAAAAATGCACAGATGTTGTCTTATTTAATAAGGCTTACAGGGAATATGGCACCAAAAGGGAGTTGGGGAGCGTTTGGGGAACATCTGTAACGGTCCCCGTTACAATTAGCCCTAGTTGTCAATGCATCAACACGTTGGCATTGACATATTAAAAAATTCTCAATGCATGGAAACGTTGACATTGACATATTAATAAACTGTCAATGCATCGACACGTTGACATTGTCATATTAATAAACTGTCAATGCATCGACACGTTGACATTGACAAATTTGAAAGTTGTCATTAAAGGTACCCGATTGATGTAATTTTAAGAATGAAAGGTTTTTTTTATCTTGAATTCATATTTATACTGTTTTATACAGTTGAAAATTTGGAAACGTCTTCTATCAACTTGTCAATGCATTGACAATTGCATTTTGTCAATGTCAACGTGTCAATGCATTGACAATTGCATTTTGTAGATGTGAACGTGTCAATGCATTGACAATTGCATTTTGTCAATGTCAACGTGTCAATGCATTGACAATTCTATTTTGTCAATGTCAACGTGTCAATGCATTGACAATTTTATTCTGTCAATGTCGACGTGTCAATGCATCGACAATTTCATTCATGTCATAGAATTTATAATTATCATTGATAACCTAATCACTCATTTCAGATGGAGATGCATCCTCAAGGAACTATTTATTCCGTATACTCCAGTTGACCCGTATCATGTAATATGGACTGTCATTTCACAAATTCATACCTAAGCTTTTTGTGTTTCATGGGATCATATGATTATAGACAAAAAAACGACAATAATTAAGAAATTAGAGGTATTGTGAGCGATGAGCTCACTAAATCAACCCCCCTTCCCAGTATGGTTATAACTGGTGAAAAAGAAATTTTTAGCTTTTGGAGGTAAAAATTATGTAAACTTAAATATTAAAATGGAGGTGCACAATGGCAATATGTAATAAAGATATGCCATATGAAAGTTTCATCAAATTTCATTCAGTTATGAGAGGAGTTCCAAAAATGAAAAGAAACACACATTCGACACAGGAGTTTAAAAGAAATATTAAAAATGTTCTTTTATGTATATTTTAAATATGCTAAATCATTCAAATATTCTTTTAAAAGTTCTTTAATTGAAAAGTGTATGCACGGTCCATTTCTTTGATTTTATTGAATTACATGATTTTTTGTTAATACATGTATTTTAATTCCTTATATATTACTTTATCATTCAGTTTCCTTATATAGAAACAAAAGGTCACCAGTTTTGCTGTTCCATTTAATGCAGACGAATTGAGCTTTCGTTACATTAAAAATAGCGTTTTTAAATTACAAATTTGTTCGTAATATATGATCATACATAATATTGGAGAATAATGTCTGCCGCTTTCCTTCGATCTTTGCAATCATCGTGGTAGAATGCTTATTTTTTCACCATTATTTCAAAGCGGTTTACAAGAAAAACATTGTATTTTATTGCTATGTGGCGGTCAGCCGGGTTCGAGCGCCGATGGCCAGATAGCTCAGTTGGTAGAACACCTGACCTGAGTTTCATGGGGCCCGTGTTCAAATCCCTGTCTGGTCCGCTGCATTTTCTCCTCTCCCATTACAGCTATATCTGTTTAATTTTACATGTGTTAAACATAAGAAAAGATTTAAGGAACATTTAATCATATCCAAGACACTTTAAAATATGATGATCCTTTAAAGCCTGATTTCAGAGGAAAATATCATCTATCCTTCTTATTTCAATAGCGCAGAATTAAGGATAATTTACTATTTAGCACTGGTATTAAAAAATTAACTGTTCTTTGTATTTAGATAGAGATTTTTAATATGGCCAAATTGCCATCAATATTAATTTAAACGAATCGAGAGTTAGCGTGCATATAGTTCTTAAAGAAAATACCGTAGATCACTAAATTTTCACGACAACTTATTTCGCGAGATAGTCATTGACTCTTTATCAGAGAGACATAATTTTAACGAATTGTTATTTCTTTATGTAATCATAAGGAATGCTATTATACACGAGAATGAAATTTTCACGAGCTCACTAGATGTCTCAGACACGTAATTACGCGAAAAATAAAGTTTTTGCAAATAAAAAGTGATTTACTGTAAATATATAAACTTCAAATCTGTTGCGTATGTCCCTTTAAGGACAGATGATAAAAACAAACTTTTGTCATAAAAATTGAAAATAAAAACCTGATTCATGTTCCAATGAGTAAAATGAACATGCAAGTTTAACTGCATGCATTTAAGTTCTTTATTCATGGTGTCACACAAATGACAAATGGAATTTAAAGTGGAAAATCTGTGAATAGATTAAGAAGGATGGCTGCAGAAAGGTAGAAATTTGAACATCAGAGAAGGTTTACAATTTCTTAATATTTTGGAAATTTATTAGTTACATCATTTGCAACAAATATAGGCCTAGAAATATATACCAATCCAGGCATCCATTCTTTGTTTGTACACGTGTATCATCTGTCCTGAACACAATACATCCTGTACCTGTACTTTTTGTTGATTTGAAAAATATACTCTGGTTGAGTAAGATATCCTTTTACACTTACTTTCTACCTAATTAGAATTAGATTCTTTACGCTTCTGTATTTTGTTACATTGCTGTAAGGATCTAACAAGTTACAACTTCCCTTTAGAGGTCATCTCAGATTGAACTTGAGATCCATACAGTACATAACACATAAACAATGTAAATAATTAAAGCATCTAATTTTAATTAGATTGACTTACTTTTGGGTTGATGATATGGAGAGTTTTTTGACAAGCAGTGTACAGTATTTTTACCTAAAGTCCAGTTTTTCCCCCAATCATGCACATATATTATAAAATGGATACGAGATTAATATTTAAATTAAATTATGAATAAATTGAAAGATTTACATATTTATATACAGTTTAAAAAAGAACTTAATATACTAGTATGAAGAGATTTGATTACAATTATATGATCAGTAAATATAAGTAATATATTTAATACATGAGGTCTATATTGATTTTACTGATAATTTAAAACCCACAATATTCTGTCAGTTTAACTTAAACATGTATAAGGTTACAAAAAAGGAAGGCACACATGTCACAGTAGACAGTTAACACTATATATACAGTTGAATACTTACTGTTTTATTCATCGAGGTACGGTACAAAATATCCTTAACATGCAACATTTATCATGCAACTGGTGAGGTTTATTTATTGGTTTTTATCACATGGTGTTTTAGAAAATCTCCTTTCGTTTTGCTATCTAGGAAATCAAAGGACCGAAAGCAATCCAGGCGCGGATCCAGAAATTGGAGTTAGAGGGGGCGCCAAAAGTAGGCAAGGGGTCTGGGGGCGCCTTGAGGCCCCCAGTGAGTCCAGGGTAAAGCCCTGGTGGTGGCCGAGGGGGGCGAAGCCCCCGGAAGCTCCTGGGTTCTAGAGATTTTTTAGGGTAAAAATGAGGTCTACCAAGTAGACATGTTTACATTTTCTAGATGAAACTGTGATTTACGTTAACTTTGACAATTTTAGGGGGCGCGCGCCGGGTGCGCCCCCCCCCCTAAATCCGCCACTGTGTCACGACACCCTAAGCTTGATCAGTGATAACAAGATTGTTGTTATATTTACAATTTTATATAAAAACAATTATGTACAAATATACAAAATGAAATTAATGAATTTCAAAATGTCTATGAGCGTTCATCTTGGACCACGTTCCCAACGCCGTCCACGTCTAATCCTTGTTACGGTCCATGTCATACGGGTACCACGCCCTTGCGCTTGCCACAACGTCCTCGACGTCCCCCGCTTATCCAAAGCGTCTTAAGCGTCTGCAGTGCTGACAAATCCAGGAAACCACGTTTCCCCATACACGGCCTCGGCCTAGCGTACCACTCCCTCGTGTAGTCGCCCAGGTTGCCACCGCCGACAGCACCAAACCATTGTGTAACCACATTTACGTACATGTATCTAGAGAGACCCTGATTGGAGATTCAGTTACCACGAATAAAGCTACCTAACCCTCCATGGACATAACTGTGAAACTACTTTCACTGGTCAAGGAAAACGTGCGCTACCCAAGACAAACCTGACATCACCTTATATAGCGACTGGCCAAATATTAAAATCACCTGAGCGTCATAATGGGGCTCCTTGCAGGATAAACGCTAAATACAAATGAGGGTCAACACAGGGCAATACTAATAAAAGAAAAACAAATAAACATATAACAAAATCAACTTTGATTGTGACATCAACTCCCCAATTTAAGAAAGTTCACTGAACTTGTGCAAAACTCACAATCAACAAAGAAGAAAAACATATGTACAAAACTACAATGTTCATAATGTCTCACTCAAATCCTACAACCTACTTAGACAATCGGCTCCCACGTTCTCTGATCCTTTAATCGCCACAATACCGAACTGTAAAGTTACAAAAGTAAAAACTATCTTTTCCACAATCACAGTGGGTGAACAATATGGACTGTTTGACTTTAGCATGTTTCTTATTTCCTCGCACACTTCAGCACGAGTTGTAAAATTTAAAGGGTATGGTTTGGATTGCACAGGCTTGTCACTCGTCAACTTTATATGATGCTCATCCAATGTCGTACATCCTGGAATATCTGATAACACATCACTATACTCTTCAAGTAACGATTTCACTTGTTCACGTTCACTTATTGTCAGTTCATCACTTACTTTGACATCACTGGGTTTCTCCTTCGAAGTAGGTAGTGTTGAATCTATCAGATCACTGTCGTCAACTGAATCGTCTTCTTCAACATCCACCATAGCTGCACTAGCGACACCTAAGATACCAGCATCAACACAACATTCTTTCCTGTCAAAATATAACTTGAGCATATTTGCATGGAATGTCTTAATTTTGCCGTTCATGTCTATTCTATAATCAACTTTCCCCAATTTCTTCACTATCTCAAAAGGACCTTTCCATTGCATTAACAATTTGTTGCTATCTGTTGGTAAAAGTACAAGCACCTTCTCACCTACTGACATGTTTCTGTTTTTAGCCTTCTTGTTGTAGTGTGTTCGGTAACGTTCGGATGACTTCTCTAAATTCTCTCTGGCTAACTGACAAGTAGACTCTAGGCGTTCTCTAAGATCGACAACATACTGATAAGTACTTCTCACCTCAGAATCCGTCTCTTCTTTTGTCCAAAGCTCTCGTAGGATTCTCATCGGACCTCTGACTCTGTGTCCGTATACCAATTCGAATGGCGAAAATCCCAAGCTCTCCTGTGGGGCATCTTGATACGCAAAAAGTGCTGCTGACAGGTATTTGTCCCAGTCTTTTGGACGCTCTGAACACAGTCGTCGAAGAATCTGCTTCAGGGTACCATTAAATCTCTCCACCAAGCCGTTACACATCGGGTGATAGGGTGTCGTGGATAACTGTTTCATCGAAAGTAAACGACTTACTTCACCCATCAACTCCGAAGTAAACTGTGTTCCCATATCTGTCAGCATCTCTTTCGGAACTCCAATTCTGCAAAAGATATCTACTAAAGCCTCAGCTACTCTTTCAGTTTCTATACCTTTGAGTGCAACCGCTTTTGGATAGCGTGTTGAAAATTCAACTAAAGTTAAAATATAACGATTACCGTTATCTGTCATTGGCTGTATTGGTCCCACCAGATCAACTGCTACGCGTCTGAATGGCTCATCTATGATCGGCATAACACTCATTGGAACTTTAGTTGTCCTACCTTTAGGAGTAGTCCTAGACATATGTCGCATGATCGACAAAACCGTCTTGCGTCAGCCTGGACTCCTGGCCAATAAAACTCAGCTAGCACTTTATCAATTGTCCTTGATGTAGCTAAATGACCTGCCATTAAAGACTCATGTGCAAGTGATAAAACTTTCATTCTGTACTTCTTAGGAACAACTAGTTGAGTAAACTGCTTACCATTCTCGACTTCCTCTGACTGGAAAACTCGAAACAGCATACCTTTCTTCAAAATGTACTTCACTCTGTTGCCGTTGGTTTCCTTTCCAACCAGAGCTCTAAGATTCTTCAGCGTCTCGTCTTCTTCCTGTGCTTTCAGCATATCCTCTGGACAAACTTCAGATCCTATTATTTCTGGAACAGAAAGAGGTTTTATCTTCTTACCTTCCATGCATTTCTGTTGTCTAGTCACTACAGCATTCACAACACTAGGCTTCCAGTCCTTGTTCGGATCGTGAGGATCTCTAGCATGCGGAATGTTTCCGATAATCAAAGGATATAATGGAGCATGTAGGCACCACGCATTCACTTCTCCTACGAAATACAGAGTGTCAACATTCACCTTTGCGATAGGGGTTTCAGTTTTGGATCCGTCAGCCAAAACACACACTTGATGGTCTCCAGTAAGTTGATCATCATGGACAAGACTTCTACGCACTATGGACGTTTCTACATCTACATCTAGAATACTAAATAAATAAAAAATAAATACTATGATACATTTAAATATACCTTTGGTGTTTCCTGAGGATTTCTCCTCTTTTTCTTGCTTGCTTTGATTCTTTCCGTTAGATCCGCCTCTGGATTTCCCTAGATTACCTCCATGCTCAGAATGATTCTTTCCACGATTACCCGCCTGCGAGGATGCACCTCTTCCTTTATTTTCACCTGTATTATCTATGACAAAAAAATAATAATAACCCTTTACCCTCTGTGAATATTTTACAGTTTAATAGTTATATTATACTTTCATGTAAATTAGTTGAATCGGATTAAAACACTATACCCGCTAAATAATGAAGCCACGCCGGTCATATTTCATAAGCAGCTTCCGATATTTTCTGCAAGTTTTTTTGTTGGGTAAGTGTTACATATTTTTTTAAAATCCCTTCACTGTCTGCAAACGTAATATATATATATAAATTCCCTGTATTATCCTTCAGGTAAGGCACACTTAATGGAAAGCCATTCTAACAGCTAATAAAAGGAACATTTTTTTTTATTATTTTTTTTATTTTTAAAGTCATTTATGGCGTATTTATGACTAACTAAAATTAAAAAAATCTTTCTATTTGTTTTGTTTCTTTATATAAAGATAGGACTTTCCTGTAAATTACACAATGTAAATCAATCGCGTTTCATAGATATCACAAATTTAAAACAATATTTGATTTATTTCCGACTCGGAATTAAATAGCAGACACAGTTTAAAGTCAATTTAACTATAGAAACGAGGGGATTTTTAAGTTCAAAATCAGTGAAAATTTAAATTTAACGTAAATAACAAATATCATGTAAATCTACACTTTATTTCGTATTTTTTATTTTTAGCTTAGATACGCCATATATAGCTTTAACTATTTTATCGTGCACTTATTTGATCAATACGTGATGAAAGTATTGCACAGAAATTTTTATTTTTAGTAAACACGGAAACACTGTTCATCAAAAACCGCTACACAGAATTATGTATGTTAGTGTAATCTACATGTGTGCCAAGTTATATTGAAATCAGACCAAAACTGTAGTAGATGTAGCATTTAAAAAAATTGATTACAGACAGACGGACGGACGCCGGGCGCATTACTTTCTCTGATCAGTAGAGCTAAAAACGACAAGAGGCCCATGGACCACATCGCTCACCTGAGTAACTTGGGTGATGCAGTTCTTACCAGATTTCCCCTCTTGCTATACCTATCATACCCCACTACCCCTTTCCCTTTGATGATTTTAAGAATTTAATATATACACTACCCAAGGATGCTTCCATATAATTTTCAGCTTTCCTGGCCCAGTGGTTCTTGAGAAGATTTTTAAAGATTTGTTCTATATATTTCTATGTAAAACTTGGATTCCCTATTGTGGCCCCTCCCTACCCCGGGGGTCATGATTTTAATAATTTAATATCTACACTACTCAAGGACGATTCCACAAAAGTTTCAGGTTTCCTGGCCCAATGGTTCTTGAGAAGATTTTTAAAGATTTGTTCTATATATTTCTATGTAAAATTTGGATTCCCTATTGTGGCCCCGCCCTACCCACGGGGGTCATGATTTTAACAATTTAATATCTACACTACCCAAGGTGCTTCCATATAACTTTCAGCTTTCCTGGCCCAGTGGTTCTTGAGAAGAAGATTTTTAAAGATTTTTCCTTTATATTTCTATGTAAAACTTGGATTCCGTATTTTGGCCCCGCCCTACCCCCAGGGGTCATGATTTTTACAATTTAGAATCAACACTACCCCAGGATGCTTACACAAAAGTTTCAGCTTTCCTGGCCCAGTGGTTCTTGAGAAGAAGATTTTTAAAGATTTTTCCTTTATATTTCTATGTAAAACTTGGGATTCCCTATTGTGGCCCTGTCCTACCCCCGGGGGTCATGATTTTTACAATTTAGAATCTACACTATTCAAGGATGCTTCCACATAAGTTTCAGCTTTCCTGGCCCACTGGTTCTTGAGAAGAAGATTTTTAAAGATTTTTCCTATATAGTTCTATGTAAAGATTGGATTCCATATTGTGGCCTTGCCCTACCCCCCGGGATCATAATATTTACAATTTAGAATCTACACTACCCCAGGATGCTTCCACATAAGTTTCAGCTTTCCTGGCCCACTGGTTCTTGAGAAAAAGATTTTTAAAGATTTTTCCTTTATATTTCTATGTAAAACTTGGATTCCCTATTGTGGCCCCGCCCTACCCTGGGGGTCATGATTTGAACAATTTAATATCTACACTACCCTAGGATGCTTCCACATAAGTGTCAGCTTTCCTAGCCCACTGGTTCTTGAGAAGAAGATTTTTCAAGATTTTTCTATATATTTTTATGTTAAACTTGGATTCACTATTGTGGCCCCGCCCTACCCCCGGGGGTCATGATTTTTACAATTTAGAATCTACGCAACCCCAGGATGCTTCCACATAAGTTTCAACTTTCCTGGCCCAGTGGTTCTTGAGAAGAAGATTATCTCCCCTCGGAAGTAGACCTGGCCCTTTATTTTAACAATTTAAATTCCCCTTCACCCAAGGATGCTTTGTACAAGTTTGGTTAAAATTGGCCCAGTGGTTCTTGAGAAGAAGTTGAAAATGTGAAAAGTTAACAAACGGACGGACGGACAGACGGACGGACGACGGACAATGGGTGATCAGAAAAGCTCACTTGAGCTTTCAGCTCAGATGAGCTAAAAAACCAAGCGAAACAAAGTCCGTTATTAAAGTAAGAAAAGCTTACCAATCCTAAGCAGTACACACATTATTTTTACACTCAGTCTGATAAAAGTTTGGAGGAAGTAGTATATCGATCCATGCACTCAGATTATGATAAATCCGCTATATTTAGGAGCTTGAAAACATCAATCCAAGTATGTAAAATCCTGCTATATGGCTCTTTTAATGTCTTAAAAATATTCGAGAAAGTTTTATTTTCTAACCTTTTTTATGTTATTTCATAATTAATTTGAAAACTCGAAACAAAGAAAAATAGCACTTTTAACTCGCAACAGCAATAAATAGAAAAGCGATCCTTGGTTTACATAGTCTCTTTAAAAAACGATCCTCTCCCATTTCAGCCGGTGGGAGAAAGCTACATGACAGTTCATTGTACACATACTTGTTGAAATAAAAAACATTGAATACATAATTATTAATGCTGACTGGCATATTTCATACTAATTGTTAGACCATTATCTATACAGAAAACTGTCTATGGATTTTCCAGTTTTTAGCTATCTGTTTTCGTCCGTCGTGGTGCGTCGTTCGTCGTGCGTTGAACATTTTTAGTTTCTTCTCTGAAACCACTGAGCCAATTTCAACCAAATTTGGCATATAGCATCTATGGGTGAAGGGGAACAAAAATTATGAATTTCCTGGTCCCTGCCCCCCTAGGACCTGGGGGGTAGGGCAAAAACCGCTTAAATTAGTGCAATCTTTAAAAATCTTCTTCTTTACTCCTGGACATTAAGCAGTCAAATTGTTGGTATGATTGTAATCAGCATTAAGTCCTCTACCAAAATTGTGAAATTCATGGCCCTGGGGTCAGGGGTTCTAGTGCTAGGGCGGGGCTAAACAGGTTATATAGTGAAAATGCATTATTTCTTTGAAATTCTTCTTTTCTGCTCCTGATCATTAAATAAACTAACCAAGTGCATAGTTAAGTTGAAAATAACCGCCTTTTTCAAAATTGTGAATTTCATGGCCCCAGGGTCAGTGGTTCTAGTGCTAGGGCGGGGCTATATAGATTATATAGTGAAAATGCATAAATTCTTTGAAATTCTTCTTTTCTGTTTGTGGGCATTAAATAAACTAACCAAGTGCATAGTTATGTTGAATAAAACTGCCTCTTTTCAAATTATGAATTTAATAGCCCCAGGGTCAGGGATTCTAGTGGTAGGGCGGGGACATATATAGATAGCCGAGCGGTCTAGCGCGCTGTTCCTGCACTGCTAGGAGACAGATTCCGAAGGTCGAGATTTCAACCCCGGGCTGGGGCGGAAGTGGGTTTCCATGTAAAAGTGAATTTCTTTGTGCTTTCTATATATATATATATATATATATATATATATATATATATATATATATATATATATATATATATATATATATATATAGTGAAAATGCAAAAATTCTTTGAAATTCTTCTTCTCTGTTCATGGGCATTAAATAAACCAAGTGCAATAAGGCTGCATCTTCCAAAATTATGAATTTCATGGCCCCAGGGTCAGGGGTTCTAGTGCTAGGGCGTGGCTATATAGATTATATAATTAAAAAATTTTTTTTTTCTTTGAAAATCTTTTTCTCTGTTCATGGGCATTAAATAAACTAACCAAGTACATAGTCATGTTGAATAAGGCTACCTCTTCCAAAATTGCGAATTCATGGCCCCTGAATTGGGGGTTCTGGTGTTAGGGTGGGACTTTATTGATTATATAGTGAAAATGCATAAATTCTTTAAAACTCTTCTTTTCTGCGTCTGAGTATTTAACCAAAGAACTATGTACATAGTTATGAGGAGGAAGGATGCCTATTTGAGATTTTTGAATTTCAGGGTCCCTGGTTTAGGGCTTAATTCTTGTGTTAGGGCGGGGATTTAATGTTTACATAGTGAAAATTCATGAATTATTTGAAAATATTTTCCTTTGTTGTTGGGTATAATTACAATAATCTTAGTACGGTATATATTTATGACAAAAAAACTTGCTTCCTCAAAAAATGGTCAATTTCCTGGCCCCTGGGACAGATTAAGGTACTTTGGGGGGGGGGGGGGTTAACATAGTCTGAAATAATTTAATACTTTGAAATCTGCATTTTGGTATTAATCAACAGCATGATGAAATAAAATTTTTAAAATGTCCAAAATTTTGAAAGATGTGACCCCAGGGTCAGTGGTTCCTGTGGTATGGGGAGCTCAACTGTGGACCCGCCCTAACACAAGAAGCACTGACCCAGGGGCCCTGAAATTCACTAAAAGTGGAAATGCATTTTCTTTTTGTTCCTCTGATCTACCTCTCGGTATTAAGTAACCAAAATAAGCATGCTGAGTGTATAATTATGATAAGCAATGGTGCCTCTTTCAAAATTGTGAATTTCATGGCCTCTAGTTTAAAACATGAATTAAATTCAATAGTTGTAAGTTGTCGCATGATACCCAGGTGACCTATAAGGCCCATGGGCCTCTTGTTTCAAGGAAGACACGGTAGGTTTGACCAGTCAGCAGAGGATGCTCACTCCTCTTTGGCATCTGATCCCACCTCAAAATTTTTAGGTCCATGTTTGCTCTGTTCCAAAGTTGAATTGTACATGTCATTGGACTTTCGAGATTGAATAAGTTGTTCGTTACCATCGTATTTCATGACAAACAAACATATTGTGGTCACCTCACTATCCCACAAGTCCTTTTGACCAGTATAGAGCTAAAAATACAGTTACATTGGGTTACAGCTACCTAATATCTATAATATGCTGCAGTTCAAAGTCTATTCAATTTTTTTTGGTTTAGTTTTGAATTGAGTCTTGAGAATAATTTTCCAAACTTAAAAATCCTATTTTGGTATTTAGATGGGAGGGTGTGTGTATGTGTATATACATATATGTGTCAGCCTTCAACTGCTTTTTTTTTTTATAATTTTAGAAATACACTATTACATCACCCTTATTTGTCTCTACTGCATCAAAAAGTGGAAGGTGTCAATGGCCTTCAATAAACATTTTTAACAGCAAAAAGTTACATTTTGGAAAAATAGGGGGGCTGACTTTAATGCCTGGAAGAAAATTTCGACCTCAATTTAAATCATCAACATGCACAAAAGTTATACACAAAGGAATTGCAATATGCCTTTGACAAAAGTGATCAATGACAAGTTAACTGGTTGAAATCAAAATTTCAAGCTGATTACCAGCTTTAGTTTCTTTTCAAAAATTATTTATCAGTAGTAGTATTAAAAGAGTATAGATTCACCAACAAAATAATTTCTTTTACAGCCTAGAACACTAGCTTCAACTGTTCAAGTGAAAACAAAATATTAAAATTAAATTCAACTTTATTAAATTAAACAATAATGCAATGGACAAAGAACAAAACATGTAGCAATGTTTAACTAGATAGGGAAAATAATCAACCTACAACAATTTTCTAACAAAACTTAAAAACTACCTGTTTCAACTAATGAAAGAAAATACTTAAAATATATTTAAGAAGAACTCTGCCAGCTTGCTTAATTTTCCATGGCCTAAATGTTGTGTCTTAATGAAGATTGTAACACTCTAGAATGAAGGTGTCATGGTCAAAAACATGAAACATTTGTAACAAATAACTGGGAATACTCCTGTGTGCCAAGTATAACTTCCTGGTGCTCCTTCCATGTCAAGTTTTATTTTCAAAATGTTACATTTCCGTGACCTTCAGAAATTCAAACACCTGAACATTGTGACCTGACCTTGACCTATTAATGTCCTAAATGTTCTGTGTCATTGTCATTTTATCTGGCAAAAGAAAATAATTTTACACTTAGATCTAAGTGACTTTGTTAAAATGATCAAAGTGCTCTTGTTTCACACTTGTTTCTTGCCAAATGCAACCTTTGAGCCATGCAAGCACAATCTGTAAATGCTTTTAATCAATCATCAGCTACAATTTTACATTTACATCTTTGTTATACCCCCCGCTTGAAAAGCGGGAGGGTATATAGTAATCGGTATTTCCGTCCGTCTGTACGTCCGTCCGTCCGTCCGTCCGTCTGTCCGTCCGTCTGTTACGCTTTGGGGTACCCATCTCTTATCCGCAACTCCTCTCATACCACTGAATGAAATTTGATGAAACTTTCACAGAATCTTTATTACATATTGCCATTGTGCACCTCCTGTTTTACTTTTTGATCCGACACATATTTTCGGTTTCCCGGCCACAAGAAAACATGGAATTTTTCACCAGTTATAACCATATGGGAGGCGGGGGGTATCATTTAATGAGCTCATCGCTCACAGTACCTCTAGTTTGGGTCAGGTTTCTTCCATTCCTTCAAAATTATCACAGACTTAATTTTAATTTTTTGTAGCCTAGTTGTGAATTTGACCTTGTCTAAAAGACAATGATGTAATATCATTATACATGTAGGCACTTCTGGCAGAAAGCTACCTTTGTATGAAGTACGGTACTAGCCTATAAAATTCTTTCAGATTTCAAAAATACGTCCAGATAAGAATTTTACTTCTCTTATTTCAATGCTAGTTATGTACATTATGATGAAATAAAATACTTTTTAAAATTTTTACAAAACCTGAAAAGGAGCACATATTTAAACTGTAGTTTTATCATTTCTACAAAGTTTAGAATTAAGCTTCAAAGATGAAAAAAAAAACAGACATAGAGCCTCCAGTATATTCTCCCAAACTTAGTTTTGAGGGAAGAAGAAAAGCCAAAGGAAGAAAGGAAAACACACTATACTAGCTAGACTAGCATTACATTATCATAAAATGGACATCTTACACAAATGTAGCCATCCTTTAAAAAAAACTCTTTGTTTGCCCTCTCCCAACCAACAGACTAAAATGGTCCAACTCAAAACATTTTTTAACCTACAAGAAACAATATTTTTAATATTTTTTTAAAAAGTTTTTTTCAAGAATTTTCTCATCTCATTGACAAGTATGTTGACATTTTTCTAGAAAAAAAAATCATCTACTTTTAAAATTATTATCCCAATTGTTTTTAACAAAAAGTCAAAAGAGGGCAAATAGAAGTCTTTCAAAGATGGCCTTACATACTTTTTTTATACTAAAGACATTGATCATTCAAGGCCACTATTTATTAAATCTAAATTCAAATCAAAGCATTCTCTTTTTTCCTGGTCAATTTTATTCTGAAAGTCTCTTCTTGTAGCATTTGACTCAATTGAGCTAAAAAAAGGGGGTGACTAATTTACAAACACAAATAGAAAGTTTAACTTTTGTGGTTATAATTGTCAGAAAGTTAACATCTTTTTTTTCTAAATATCATTAGAAAGCATAATAATGTGAACAAGCAAATGATCAAAATTCATTAGTGATTTACAAGTACTCAAAATCATTGTTTAAAATAACCAGTAATTAGTGTTCAAAATCAAAATGCAAAAATTTCTTACACCTTCTTTTGTTTGGAAGAAAACGTTTTAAAAATAAAGCATTAAAAAAATCCCTACACCTTTGTTATTATAAAGACATGTCACTGCAATACACTGCTGTATAAGTATACATACATATACTAACATATTTTTCTTTAAATACATAGACCGATTTTAATTACATATACATTTCATTGTTAAGTTTGATTCATGAACTTAGGCTACAAGTCATACATTATATGTAAATGTGCTGAAATTACATGTGTACAAATAATCTTTTTTCATATCAAGAAATCATGCTTTTTATGTATTCTTAGACCTCCCCATGCCCATTAACTTCACTAATCAAGCAATGAAACTTTACATATTTTTCAGAACCAATAAACGTACAATTTAATTCATGTAATGTGAAAAAAGTTGGTTGCATGTTTCAACAATCCACTAAAATGCGAGTTTATATTACACACATGCCCTCCTCTGTGCAATAATGGTGAGAATTTGACAAAATGTGGGCAATCTCAATAGGATGAATATCTATTAGACAGAAGTTTGAAAAATCTATAAAAAGACTCTACAAATTTTAAACATATGCCCTGTTCACATGGAGAGTTCAATTCGATTTAAACGTAAGTTTACTGCAAATTAGCTTTGCTTAGCATTCACATGGAGAATTTAATGCGAATTAGTTTAATTCGAATTAATTTACTGCACATTAAATTCCTTCGCATTAACTCAGTGTGAACGCTAAGCGAAGCTAATTCAAATTAAATTTTGATGCATGCATAAGGCCAGAACTGAGTCACAGTACACATGTTGATGGTTAGATTTAGGTATCTGTGTTACATTTGGTTCGAAAATCAAGGAAAAGCATGGTAATCACTAATTGTATCCCTGTAGCCACTATGATTCAAATGGATGGCTCTGCATACATGACGTGATTTACAAATGATGTCATAATAGCCTTCCTGAATAGTCTTTTTGTAGTTATAAAATTTTAATTCATTCGCATTAGTTTACTTCGATTTAGCTGTCGTGTGAATGCAATTTAATTCGCATTATTTTGATTCACATTAGTTTACTTCGCATTAATTTACTGAGAATTAAACTCTTCGTGTGAACAGGGCATTAGATTATGGCACATCTGTCAGTCTTAGTAAGCTTTCCTGTCACATGTGGCTACCGTTTCTCATTCATATTTCAATTAACGTTTGGTTAATCAAAAATACAATTAAGAATTAAATAACTTCTCACCATTTGTGTAGCCTTGCTCAACTGACCTTCATTCAAGGTCTATATATACTGGTACATGTATATATTTTTATTTGTTACTGGGAAGCTACTATTCCTAGTTACATGTGTGTTTCAAGGTTATAAGCAACTCTATAAAGATACATATAAACTTATTAAGTTGTGCAAGAGATGTCATGGCAGATTTTATCTTCTTATTCCCTTCCACAAATCTGAGAAGCATGTCTCCTTACCAAAAAGCATGCATCCTGACTGAAAAGCATATATCCTTACTGAGAAGCATGTTTCCTTACCGAAAAGCATGTATCCTGAGAAGCATGTAATATCCGTTCCGAAAAGCATGTATCCTGACTGAAAAGCATGTATCCTTACTGAAAAGATTTCCTTACAGAGAAGCATGTGTTCTTACTGAAAATCATGTATCCTTACTATAAAGCATGTATCCTTACTAAAAAGATTTCCGTAACATTTGTAATAACCAACGTTATAAACCTCGATCTTTCTTGAGGTGCTTATAGCTATTTCGACATGATCTCATGCTTCAATGTCTAAATAATCCAGTACATTACGAAATACATCACTTAGATACTTAGTATATCTTAAATATACAGTACATACATCATTTTTGATTATAGCATTAAGATATTCTTAATCACTGTTACAGTAACTTTTTATGGCACATTCTGTATCGCATAACAAAATACATGTACCACATACAACAACAAATCACTATAAATTCAGTGTTTATGTGTACAGTGAGACTGACATACTGGTGACAACTCTAGTACGTCTTGTCTACTGTAAAATAACCAACTGTTCACATCAACCCTCTTATGTTTTCATCTTGAACCTTCAATAGGAAAAATATCAACATAGGTGAATATACAAAATATTTCTATGATATTCATATATGAATATAATGTTTTGTATTTTCCTTAACCAGTGATTTTAGTACAAGCAGGTACAACCCTTACAGCTAAAAATGGCTGACAAGGTTTAAAATACCAACACAATCCCTGTCATATACCATGATATTCTCGATTGCTCATGTTGGCTATGTTTGCAGCTACATTGTATTAGCAATGGTTTGAGAATAAACAAGGCAAGTTTATGCAGCTTGCTTAACGTTCCAGGGTATAGTTAAACTGATTGAAAAAAAGGTCTTGAACCCATTGTTTGTTTAAGATTTCTACATAATGCACAACAAATATTCAACAATGTTTGTAATAAGTAATTTGTAATCTGATCCTTTGTATCCACCAATAACTGAATTAACAGATTTTGCTCTTTAGCTCTCATGAATAAATGAAAAAATAAGAAAAATCATGGCATGTTGTTTCATGACACTGGTGGGATCTAAAAACAAAAGATCCTCAATTACCAAATAATTACCGTATACTAGCTTATGTACAAATTCATCCATAACAGATTTGATTCTCATGACCTATTTGTAATCAAAAATACAAAACTTAGAAGAGAAATACAGTGAAATGTTAATTGCTTTTATGTAAAAAAGTTTTCCTATCCATAGCAGTGGATGCTACAGTTATCCTTCTTTCTCTGTGTCTTCAGGATACTGAAGCTATCCTCTTCCTCACTGTCTACTGGATACTACAGGTATCATCCTTCTTCCTCCGTTCTGGATAGTCCATCCGTTCCACGCGCCCGGAAGATGTCCGGTAAGACAGACCTGGGGACTCTACTGGACTCACCTGAGAAGCAGGTAAATCAGAGGGTGTAGTGGGAGATGACAGATAGGGGTTGCTGTACACCTGACCTACACTCACAGAAGGTTGAGCACCAGCATTCTGAGCACTACTCACTCGAGTTGGGTAGCCTTGAGCACTGCTAGAAGAGTTGTACGAACTGCTAGAAAAATTCTGGTTATAACCAGAATGTGCATTAGCAGACCCTGTATTTGAACTCTGAACAGTTGCTCCTAAAGACGTTGGCCTGCTCACAGGCATTGGAACTGCAGCAGGCGAAACGAGATCATCATCTTTCTCTTTATATGCTATCAGGTATTCCGGGTAGCTCTGGTTTCTGTCAAAAGTGACAAATATTGTTGGGTTGGCCATATTATCTACACAAGAATCATACCGCCTGTGACCTTCCATAATCGGGGGACATTTCATGTCCCTCTCCCCTTTGGTGTAGCTACCAATAAGAACCTTTGCTTTTAACATCAGCCGCAATGGACCTCTGGTGTAGCAATTGCTGTACTTTGAAGTAGTAGCAAAGTATGACCCTTGGCCATACATAGTGGCGTTTTTACCACTCAATCTAAAATCAAAATTGGTAGTACAAATTCCATAACAAGTGTTAATGGAATCTGTGCCATGAAAGAGGCTTCTCTCATCCACGCTTCCACCTCTCGCCTCACTGATTCTTTCCATATTGGACTTCTTCCTATAAAAAAGGATTAAACTTCAATTGCTGAAAAATTCTTCTTTTTCCTTACCAAATTAAATATTTTCCTCATCCCTACTCTTTCTCTTCAAATCCCCGAGACTTAAATAATGTTTTGACTTTAATAAGAGAATACCACCGTGTACATTTGTACCTGCATTTCATATGTGAAATCAGCTCGATTGGCCCCATATTAGCTAAAAGGTTAAATGTTTACTACCTCTAATTATTGTTCATGCTTAATACAAAACATTTCCAATATACGTATGTATAAAACTTTTTGAAATGGACTGAATTCTGTATACAGGGTTATCTTTGCCCTTTCACACCTGCAAACAATTTTGCCCCGTCTTGAATTCGTCCAGTCACAGTTCTGTTTCAGAAATTGTAATTTGAATTCATTGAATTCATACCGTTTTAAATTCACCCAACTGAAGGTAGGGCGAAAGGGGCGAAAATAAAATGGGGGCAAAAAATTTCTTGTAAACAGTATTTAATTCCTGTAGATGGCAAATTTACGAAGTCATTTATATAGAAATCTCAGGAAACTTGACTTACATTTTGTACTCATTCCAGAGCTCCAGATTCTGTACACGATAAATATTGCAGATCTGGAAATTGTCCTCCTTAAGTGTGCTGAAGAAGGAAGATTTGACATCTACGAACTCTTTGTTAGATTCCTCCAAATCCACTAATTCAAAATCATGTGCCAAGTCCCATGGGGCCCAACCAGGGGGTCTGGAGCCGGGATAGGATATGGCAAGGTAGGGTGGACTGAAAATCAATGGAGACTGATTAGGAAATATTTACAAAAATTAAACAACTTGACTTTGGAAAAATTTAAGAAATCTAAGAAAATGTAAATACCGTATATTAAGTAGAATTTTTAGCGAGGATTTAATTTTGGCATTATTAGCGAGGGTGCCGAGATCGCTAAAACTGAATATCGCTAAAAATTAATTGTGTTTTATTTGTAAAAGCTTCTTTAATGCGCATTCTAAAATCCCTAAAATAACATCTCGATAAAATAAAATTATCAGTTTTTAAGGACAAATTGCTTAATTTGCGTCTCGCTAAAATTTCCACTTATAGTCGGTAATCCAACCTACAGAATGAATTATACCTACCTCTGAATTGCTTGTAATCATTCTCTCCCCCCCCCCCAAAGAAATGGAATTTTCATATTGTGATTACCTTGTGCTTCACTATTTCAACCAGTTAGGGATTTATCTAATTTGAAAGGGCAAGGAATGTCTGCCTGTAATTTGTTTGTTATTTAACTGCAACATGGTGCCTCAATTTATACAGTCTCATCTGAAGGATGTGGTCTCTACATCCCACAGTGGAATTGGAACCCGTTTACTAAGGATCAACTCCTTACTTTGTGACTCTACAGCAGAGGCTCGAAACACTACACCACGTCAATGACTCTGCGATTTGAGAAAGGGAATTGAAATGCCCAAAATATCAAGATCTTAATGAAATACGATTCTAAGTTTCTAACTGACTTTGTCCTGAGGGATGTGGCAAAAACCATTCAAACTGATACAGTTTCATTATTAATGGTTTCTGTCACAACCCTCAGGACAAAGGGAGACAGAACACAGTTTTTGTTCCCCTTTACCTACAGAAGCTGGAAACCCTAATTGGTTGAAATTTATTCATTTGTTCCAGAAAACGCCAAAAATGTTCAAATGTTTTGCTGGATGCGGTTCATTATCTTTGTTCCCCTTCTAATTTGCATAACGTGTTTCTACAGGTATAATAACTTACAAGGATTTTGCTGCCACATCTGCCAGTGAGAGAAACACTGGTCGACGGAGAATCTTGCGAACTTTATCTGTATCAATATTCGTCTGCTGCAAACCTGCAAAATCTATCCGATACTTAAATCGGTAGCTTTCTCTTGTAAAAAGGTAACTCTTTTGTCCACTGAGATATTTTTTCTCCAAAGTGTACTGGAATCTTTCCTATGAAAAAAAAGTAAAATTGTAAATGCACATATGAGACTGAAAATGAACTGTAGCAAATGTTCCAAAGAATTTTTTTTCCAAAGTTGAAGGTGACATTGGATGTTTTACTTTAATCTGTTCTCTGCACATTCAAAGGTTTAATCAGTTTACTATAAACAATGAATTGCAGATCTATAATAATCAGATGTTACAAAAATTTATCCTGTGAAACCTGAAATACGAGTGATTCTGACACAAATTAAGGAGAAGAATTTACTATTTGTTATTTAGAACTAGTTTCCAGTCCTTTTGATTGACATCAGTAAACTATGTTCAAAACAAACAAAAACACAAATCTGATCATCAACAAAATACTCTTTATCTAATGCGACCTATAACAATATTAACCTATAACAACTAACCTTGTCATACAGAACCCACTGCTTGGCATCATCCTGATAGTACCACCGCCACTGGGTGTGGAACGAACCGGCAGCCAATGGCTTCCTCTCCTTAGCAAACGACGCCGTGGACAGACGCCTAATGGCGAGAACGTCTTGTGTACTCAGGGGTTCATCTCCGTGGATTATCTCATACACAACTCCCTTCTCCTCGTTAAACTTCATGTGAACCCTGTATCTTCTCTCTTGATACTCCACCTTTATACAAGAATATGATATATTAGCTGTGTTCAAGAATCCAACATTCATTACAAACAGGTTCAATATTTTAAAATAAATCTCCTTACCTCCCCTCCTTCCACATCTTCTAGACTGCAGTAGCTTTTTTCCAGTTTCTGGTTTTCCGCATCGTTAAAGCTGACCCAATCGCCATAGATACGGATCTGCCAGAGGTAGGGGAGAGGTGTGTGGTGTTTATCGCAGCCCCTCCCCTGGCAGGCTGCCAACAAACTACTGACACAGATGTCTTTTTTGTGTGCATCCTTTTCCGCTATACTCTTTGACGTCACCTCCTGTGCATTATTACCTACTATGACAAAAAATGAGGTTGGTATCAGATTTAATGTATTAATTATAATCATACTATACTGATTATCATATTCATTAATGATACACTTTTAAAGTGCCAAATTATAAACATTTATTTCACAACTGATATCAAATTACACTATACTAATAAACATTTTAACATTTTTTTTATTCTTTGGTTTTTAGTAAAGGAAATTCATGTTGCAGCTGTTGAAGAAAAAAACATATGTATTTTTTTTTTTGCAATACATGTAGCTGCAATGTTTCCATACTAACAAAGTCAAGCAAGTAAAAGCCCTTTCATTGTTTATATTTATATCTGTATAAAAAATGACCTAAAGTAGAATAAGCAGATTAAACATTATTATATTGATATATTTGTCATTGTATGTTTCATTGATGGAACAGCCACTGCTCAAGAAATCTCAAGACATGAAATGCTTGGTGTTGTTTACTGATTGATAAACAGCAATGGTTTTCTCAAGAAATAAAAGAGAAAATGTTAATAGTGGATGTAACAATAATTTTACAAACATGATGTACCTGGAATGGATGCCTCAGTGTCTGGCTTTCTACCATACTCCAGGAATTCTGTGTCCTCCACGTCGGCTGCCCATCTGTCTTTTCTATCCAATCTTCTCTTCTGGGGGTAAACCTCTTCTGTTGACTCTGAAGGGTCTCTTCCATAACTTCCAGGATAGACATCTTTTTCCTCTTCCTCTACATAATCTTCCTCTTCCTCACCATCATCATCTTCATCTTCATCATCATCCATGTCATCAGACAACTCTAATTCATCCACATTACTCATGATTTCAGAAAAATCAACGGCGGATGCTCCATCACCAGGGTCCTTCTTGCTTCTTGGTTTTCTTGGCATATTGATGAGAAACTTCAGCAGGGCTAATTTCTCCTTGGTCCACTTGTCCATCCTGTGGCATGAGAGGACCCACAAGTTGTGAGGGGTCTCTAAATCATGTCCTCGAGGGCAGTTAGAATCTTCACATTTATCTCGAATGTAGTTAAAGCAGATGTGAAGATAAGGACAATCATCGCCTTCTGGACACCTTTTTCTGTGGCAAATCTGGGGATACCTGCACTGAACAATGGTTTTTATTTCCACATCTTTAAAAGGATTAAGCCCAAGTTTTGCTTTCAAGACCCTGTTGTGACCTTTTGTAAATGTATGACCTTTTCTACATTTGAAGCCACGTTTGCACCATCCATTCAAGAAGAAGTTACAAATATGAAAATGGCTGCAATCCTTACGGTCACATTTCTTTTTTCCTCCAAAACCCATATGATGAGCACATACTGTAGCATTGATGTGAAAGGGTCTAATAAATAGAGGTTTGTGGTTCCTTTTAAAAATGGATAGTCGCTTCCTTGGTTCCATTATCCACTCATCAAAATTTGGAGGCAAGGGAGTATATTCCTCTTTGAATTTTGCTATGCTGGCACATCCTCCCATTGTACTCACCAGGAATTTGAATACCTTAGCCTCCGAGAAGCTTACGTCTGCATCATCTTCAAATTCTCGGCTGGGCTGCTCTGTCACACCATCTTGGCTAGACTCTTGACCTCTCTCACTTCTCCCTGGATCACCTCCCCTTCCTCCTCTACCTCTACCCCTTCCTCCTCTTTGACTCCTACCCCTTGCAGACTGTGAACTCTGACTGCTGACACTTTCATTGTCTGAGTCATTCCTTTGGTAGGAATCCCTATCATCATTGGGTTGATTAGGAGCATTTCTTCCCCTGCCTCTTCTCCTGTTACCACGACCTCTACCTGGCTGTGAAACATGGCTGCACACACTCTCATTGTCAGAGTCATTGCCCACATCACCCTCTCCTGGCATTTCTTCCCCATCCTCCAGTACACCCGTTCCTCCTCTCCCCCTCCTTCTTCTTCCACCTCTACCTTTTCCTCTCTGAGGCTCTTCACTTCCACCACTGTCCTCTTTCTGCCTACTCATACCACTCTCACTGTTTTGTCTTTCCCGTTGTTCCCCCTGCCTGTTTCCACCTTGTGCCCCTCGTTTTTTGTCTCTAGCTGATGGTGGTTTTTCACTAACAACATTCACACCAGGCATGGTTAGATTTTTCAGGTCCTCTAACATTTCATCGATGAGTTTCTCATCCTCACGTTCATCTTTCTTTTTCTGTTTTAATTTGGACTCAGTACTTTTTTCTTTCCTCTCCTTTTGTACCTTTTCCTCTTCATTAGGACCTTAATTAAGATAAAGAAAAGAATATATTTAAACATTCAATTATTAACCTTGCAGCATCTGTTAATTTTACAAAAATATAACTGTTGTGAAATAATATCACCTCATAAACAATTACAAGATGTTTGTATTTAGTTAAACAAAAGATGTTTGTAAAACAATCCCTCCCCTAAATAATTGGAATTTTTATAAGTCAAGGGGCCATAACTCTATCCAAAATGGCTTGATCATACCCAAAACAGTACTTAATCTAGATATTCTTATGATAAATTTGTATACCAAATTTCATTTCAATATGTGCAACCTCTGCAAAGAAAAGGAATGAAAACTGCAAATCATTGGAATTTTTCAAAGTCCAAGGGGCATAACTTTGTCCAAAATGGCTCAATCATATCCAAAACAAAACCTACATATTCCTATGATAATTCTGTATACCAAATTTCAATATAAGCAACCTCTGCAGAGAAAATGAATGGATGGTGGAACGACAAACAGACTGACTGACAGACAGCAGCAAAGCAATATACCCTTCCTTCTTCGAAGAGGAGCATTCCGGGTAAATATGGTATGGTATACATTCTTCTTCCATTAAACATGTCTAAACTTTAGCTTAGCTGATTAAAGATGAATCATAATATTCTAAAGAAAACTTGATTTGATGTATTATACTAAGTTTTAAGATTTGTAGACCACTAGTTGTAAGGAAGCATTTTTTTCAATTACTTCACAATTCATGGGTCAATGTTGGTGGGAAGCCAACATTCTGTTAGATTGTGGGAATGTTATTTCATGGATAACCTATAGATATGGAAGAATTAATGATAATTATGCAAAATAACTGATCATGGGGATGAAATTTTGTGGATAAGGGTGACCCACACACTCCCCAAACACTGCTCTCCACAGACATTGCTGATTCTACTGTATCTGGCATATTTAAACAAGCACTCTGAAAGTTTTCTATTGGCAATGCTAGTCCCCTATCGGCAAGCATAATCTGGTTCCCTTAAAAAATTAAATTGCAATAATTATGTCAAAAATCATTGACACTGAATGCAATGCAAACTTGATCTATAACTCATCAAGGCAAAGTCACACACCTACAATCAGCTCAATTAATATCTGCCAGTGTTTAGAAAAAAATGTGTGGAAAACCAGGTGGAACAAACAGACATAGCGACAGCTAGACCGACGGACAGATACAGAGGAAACCAAGTCCCCTTCGGTTTCACCAGTAGGGCCTGCAGGGGACCAAAAAAAAGAACATAAGGACAGATGATAAAAAAAAATTAAGGGAGGCCTGGATTGGTATACCTTGTAAACTTTCTACGATTTTCAAATTTCTAGTTTTCTAGATTTACTATCATCCTATGAATTTAAGCAAATTTTTGTCCCTTAAAATGAAATCAATTATTTGGATCAATGTGCAAATTAAGTACTTATTTTCTCTTTGCCAAGACATTGCTTTAAGAGCTTGCTGTGTTACATGTCACTGTGCTCACTGTAAGTTTCATCTTTTCTGGCCCCGTGGTTCTTCAGACGAAGATATTTTAAAGATGTCCAAAATTATCAGGATTCTTCAGTATCTCTCCTTGAAAAAGGGTATGGCACTTTCCTGTGAATAAGCTTAAAAGTGCATGGACACAGATTTGAAGTTAATATTTTCTGTATAATATCACAACTTATATATTTTAATAGAATTTCATACAAAAATATATAAAAAAATTTGTTTCATCTAAAAGTTATTGAAACTTCAAATTTTTGCATGGGTGTGATTGACACATATCCTTGCACTCTCACAAATTTTACTAATATTCTTAATACAAAGGAACAGTGGCAATCTTGTTGTGTATTAATGCAAAACATTAAAACTTTAATCCAGAAAAATAATTATATTCAGAGTAGAAATGTTCATAAGCAAAACCCCTTCACAAGTATCGCCATTCCACGCTTAGTGTTTTGTACACAGTTTAGCAAATTGAACACACCCTTGAAACGTACACAGTTTTTGTAAACAGGGCACGAGCTTTGTTATTTTTAATGTTTACAATTCACCAGGTGCGTTCAATTGTTAAAGTCTGCTCACCACAACTGCACGGACTGACAATATACTGTATGTATGTTTTGCTTTCGAACATTTCTACTCTGAATTTTCTGGATTATAGTTATAATATTTTTCATTTATAGTCGCAACAAAATTTCCACTTTTCCAAAGTATTAAGAATGAAATTAAAATTTTTGAAAGTGCAAGGATGTGTCAATGAAACACGTCTAAAAAATTTGAAGTTTTAATAACTTTTAGATGAAATAAAATTCTTAATATATTTTTGTGTGAAATGCTATTAGAGTATATAAGTCGTAATATTATACAGAAAATACTAACTTCAAATCTGTGTCTATGCACCTTTAAATCCCCTTTATTCAAGGAAGCTTTGTGACAAGTTTGATTGAAATTGGCCCAATGGTTCTTTAGTTCAAAATATGAAAAGATTAGAGATGATAGATGGACGCTGGAAACTCTTTGATCAGAATAGATTAATTACGTGTGCCTTTGTCTCAGGTGAGCGTCAAAGGCCTAAAATATTTATAGAGCTGCCAACAGCATACTTCAATTTGAATACTCAAAATGATGTTAACATGAAGCATAAAAAAGAGCAAACCTTCCACACAGATGATATTAAAAAGGTTCTTCAATGCCTCTTTTGCTGCATTTTTCTTTGCTTCTTTTTTGGTCTCTGCATATCCTTCATATGACCTTCCATCAACCTCCGTAATAACACACACAAAATCATTATTGGTGGGGCAGTCCCTGTATACAACATTTTTCTTCATTTCATTTAAAACCGTCACTGGGTGCTTGTAAACAAACTTTGCTGATCCTGAAACATATCATAAGCAATGGTCGTATTATAAGCATCTGATTTATCTAGTTCCGAGTTCTTAGCAACATTTAAATCTGTCTTTTGGTTTAAATAATACTTTTACTTCACCTCTTTGTGTCTTTAAAATTGATTTTTAAAGCAAATTATTTCTAGAAAAATAAATCTGATACCAGCTGATGCCTCAGGATTTGGTGGTAGCAGTGGTCTTGGTGGTGCCTGTGGAAGATAGGGGTTTAATCCAAAATTAGGCTGTTGCGGCCCTGCATAATTGGGCTTTTGCTGTCCTGCATAATTAGGCTGTTGTGGCCCTGCATAATTAGGCTGTTGTGGCCCTGCATAATTAGGCTGTTGCTGCCCTGCATAATTTGGCATCCGTACTTGCTGGGGTGGCGGTGGATACATTTGATTTCCCATTTGAGGAGGTCCATATAAACCTTGTGATTGTGGAGGCATTCCAAGAAGAGAACCTGGCTGGCTTGGTTGATGTACATTAGATCCTATGGGCTGACTTGGAAAATATTGCTGATTATTTCCAGGCTGGAAGTTCTGTTGCCCTGGTCCTGAAAATAATGGAAAATACAACTGTCACAAGAAATCTAAACTAATCAAAAACAGATATTGTGAGATAACATATGCTGGAAATGATGTTGGATGTTAAAGCTATAAGCTTTATTCAATGTTTAATGCTTTATTAAATAATCCTGGTGGGAACTGGAACTTTTAGTTTTGACTTTTGACCATCCAGCTTCCTTGCCTCAAAACTTTAAAATTGTATACAGTGTATTTGTAAAGCTTCTTCCTGTGTAAGTTCTTTTATTATCAAAACCAGAAGTCTCTGTTGAGACTGAAGCTTTACTGGTTTAAATTACTTAAAGGAAAAGGAAGAGAAAAGCAAAGGAAAAGAAAAGTAGCAGTTGGGAATTGAAACTTTACAACAGCAATAAATAGAATAATGATCCTTGATTAAGTCTCTTTATGTTCTTAGTGTAGTCTACTTGCATGCCACATTATATTATAATCAGACTAAAACTGTATTTGGAGTAACATTTTGAAAGTATTTCACGTAAATTTCTATTTTTAGTAACCACGGCAACACAATTCATCAAAATCAAAAACTGATATTTAAAATTATGTATCTTAGTGTAGTCTACTTGTGAGACAAGTTATACTGAAATCAGACCAAAACTGTAGGAGGAGTAGCATTTTGAAAGAATTTCATAGAAATTTCTATTTTTAGTAACCACCGCAACACCATTCATCGAAATCAAAAACCAATACAAAGAATTATGTACCTTAGTGTAGTCTACTTGTGTGCCAAATTATATTGAAATCAGTCCAAAACTGTTAGAGGATTAGCATTTTGAAAAATTGTTTACAGACAGACGGACAGACGCCGGACGCATTACTGTAGTCTCTGACCATTAGAGCTAAAAAATTAGGAGAAAAACCTTGGTTTAAATTTTAAAAAAATGACTTACGCTGTCCTGGATGTCCTTGATAGCCACCCCTAAAAAATTCACTGCCACCTTGTGATCCACCTCTGGCATTTCCTGTGGGATTTCCTCTGCCCGAATGTCCACCACGATGCCCACCTTGTGATCCACCTCTGGCCTTTCCTGTGGGATTTTCTCTGCCTGCCTGCCCACCACGCTGCCCTCCATGAGATCCTCCTCTTGGATTTCCTTGACTACCACCCCTGGAGGATCCACCCCTGCCTTTATTGTCACTCATATTCTCTATGATCACAAAATGTAGATTGACTTTTAATATACCATTATAACAGGAGAGAAGAAAAACATGATGAATCAAACCGTGGTTCAAACCTAGGCCCCGTTAATCTCAAGCACCTTACTGATGCATACAAATGATTATGTACAAACTGTTCAAGAATTTTTTTTACATCATTCAAAGGATCATCATCGGCGGTATACCAATATTCCCTGCAGAATCTGCCAGTTTTCTTTTAGTTCACTCTAGCTAATACACCAAAACTCTTATTTGATATGCATATTATTGAACTTGGTTAATCATAATGTAAACAAAACATTATGATGAATCATCAGTGATGTTCCATATATATTGCAAGATAATCTGATAATTACACTGTAAAACATCGCAAACATGCAGACAAGGGATTGGATTTTCATAAAACAGTTACTAATTTGGGAAAACAAAGAGAGATTTATAACTCTATAATTTTGGTAAAAATGTTTTTAAAACATCTTTCCCCCCCCTACAAAAGAAAAATTCCTTTTTACAGGTGATATGGACTGTCACTTCACAAATTACCTAAGCTTTTTATGTTTCATGGGGGGGGGGGGATATATGTTTATAAAAAAAAAACGACAAAAATGCTTATTTTTTTAACAATTATTTAAAAGCACTTAATTAATTTACAACAAAAACATTGTATCTCATTACTGTTTCTGTTTAATTTTATATGTGTTAAACATAAGAAAAGATTAAAAGGAACATTTAATAATATCCAAGACACTTTCACAATATTATGATATGCTTTAAAGCCTGATTTCAGTGGAAAGCATCGTCTATCCCCCTTATTTCAAGAACTAGAATTAAGGATAATTTACTACATTATACTGTATTTACTGTTCTTAGTACATGTATCAGACAAACATTTTATGGCCAAATTGCCATTAATATTAATTAAATAAAAGGAATCAAGAGTTAGTTAGAATAATTTAACTGTGTCTCTGGACAAGCCCTCACCGGACAATATCATTTTAACGATAGAACTTTCTATCTAAGATTTATTAATTATATAGTGTGCGTATAGTACTTTGAGAAAATACAGTAGATCACTAAATTTTCCTGACAACTTATTTTGTGAGATAGGCATTGACTCTTTATTAACGAGACATAATCTTAAGGAATTGTTATATATTTCTCTGTATAATCTTAAGGAATTCTATCATAGATTTGAAATTTTCGCAAGCTCAGTATCTCGCGTAATTATGCAAAAATAAAGTTTTCGCAAATAAAAAGTGATTATAACAGTAAATATATTGACTTCAAATCTGTTTATATGTCCCTTTAACACAATACAGTAAAACTCGTTTAGTACGAACACGGATATAGCGAATTCACGGATGTAGCGAAATTTTTCTGGGTCCCCGGCAAAATCCTTAACAAATCTTTGTAAAATTTTTCGGTTATAACGAACTCTGATATAACGAATTTACGGATATAGCGAACTGATTTTCAGTCCCGTTTAGGTTAAATATAATGAAATTTACATGTGTATCTTTTATAACGAACTTTCAAAGATATCAAAATTTGATAAACTGAACTGACTTTATTTTCTTTTTGCATTTGTATATAAAAATAAATTCATAATAAAACCTTGGTTATCAAAAGTATGTTTTGTAATATTTGCTTCCCTAACATATTTGGTATTAACACTTGAAGGAAAAAAAATTAATATTACGACTTCGTTATATATGTTTATACGAATTCGTTATATGGATATAACGAATTACGGATATAGCGAATTAAATTCACAGGTCCCCAGGACTTCGCTATATCCGAGTTTTACTGTACATACTGTATAACCTGTACTTTTTCAATTGTTGATTTGAAAAATATGCTGGTTGAATAATTAAGATAATTAATCGTTTCACACTTACTTTCTAGCTAATTAAAATTAGATTCTTTACACTCCTGTATTTTGTTACATTGCTATAAGGATCTAACAACTTCCCATCAGAGGTCATCTGAGATTGAACTTTAGATCTATATAGGGTTCATTCTATCTATTCCCACTTTTTGAAAATCATGAAGAAAAAGGTAAGATTTTATGTGGGAATAGGTGGAATTTTGTGTAAACAAATAATTAACTATGTTCTTAAATTTAGGTATTAAGTTGCTTTTTTTGCAAGATCTTTTTATTATTTCAAAAATCTTAAATAAATCATATTTTCTCACAGATGTATTCATTATTTTCTGTCTTAAAATGTACAAAATACATGTAAATCTAAACATCTATTGTTATTTGCAAGTGGGAATAGGTGGAGTTGAGATTTTTAAAAAGTGGGAATAGCTAGAAGACACCCTATATAGGCTAGCTATCCCGACAGCGACATAACACATAATTAAAGGATCTAATTTTAATATTTGACATGTTTGATTGACTTACTTTTGGGTTGATGATACATAGTTTTTTTTTATGAGCAATGCATGTACAGTATTTTTATCTAAAATCCAGTTTTTTTTCCAATCATGCTTATGTCAAAATTAATCTTTAAACACAGGAGTCGGCAGTTTTATCAATAAACCAGTGTAAACATAACCTATGAGCTTCGCGAGCTCATAGGTTATGTTTACACTGGTTTATTGATAAAACTGCCGACTCCTGTGCTTTAAATTAAATTATGAATAAATTGATTTACATATTTATATGTTTAAAAAAAGGCATTCACACATGTACAAAATAAGCCCCTAGCTCCCTCACTTTGAATTTACCACCCGGTAAAAAATCTCGGCCTTTAACATGTTTAATCTATGAAAAGAGTTTGATGTGATCAGTAAATATATTATAATTTACTACAGGATGTCTATATTGACTTTACTGATAATTTAAATACCCACATACATGTACATGCATGATACAGTCAGTTTAAGGTCTAAAAAGGAATGAGGCACACATCACAGTAAACATTTTAAAACAGTATATATCTATACAGTTGAATACTCACTGTTTTATTCATCAAAAGTCCTTAACATGCAACCTTTATCATGCAGTATGGGGAGGTTTATAATATTTATTGGTTTTTACACATGGCTTTTTAGAAAATCTACTTTCGTTTTGCTTTCAAGGAAATCAAAGGACCGAAAGCAACGGTTTACAGTCAACTCGTACACAAACCGTCTCGTACACAAACCGAGTCGTACACAAAAAGTCAACTCGTACACAAATCAGAAGTCAACTCGTACACAAACTGATGTCATTTGTACATAGTTCCCTATGTGGTTTAATGTATAGTTTTTCTCAGTGTTAAAAAATTGAGGAGTCAACTTGTACACAAAGATTTTTTTTTGTACATTTTAATCTTTTTTATGCCGCTGATTTTACCTATACCTTATGCGCAGATTGTTTTTTTTATTATAAGGTTTTTTGCGACGTAAATCTTGGGCGTCAGCTCCTACACATTTTTCGTTATTTAAATATACATTTATTTGATACATAAATGAGAAGTCCCGTTTTTTTTATTCTGCAAATTTAATTGTAAATTAAAATATCTTATTAAACAACATGATCAGATCGATTCAATATAATTGAATTTGATTTAAACATCACCCCAAGATAATATGTGAATTTTACATTTTAAAATTAGTCTTCGGCTTTTATGCAAGTAATATGTGGATATAAATATAACTTAATTTAGGTAAGAAATTTAGAAATTTTATGACACCATAACGTATATACCATTATTCAATGTAGATAGTAAATACGATCGAAATACATCGTAAGATTTTTATGCCAATATGGTATATCATATCATTGCATACGATTAAAAAAAAACTTATCAAATTAAAAAAAAAAAAAAAAAGAAGAAGCTTTTTTTTTTTAATAGAGACAGTTTTACGGCAGGATAATCACTTCTCTCACACCATGGGGAAGATAAAGAAATGAAGAAATTAGGAGCATTTCGTAATCAGCAATTAGCGTTCGTCGCAAATCAAAGAAACCGCCGCGCTTATGTTAGTTTAACATTAATTGTTTATAGCGAGCGCAGCGAGCGTCGCGAAGCGACGCTCGCGAAGCGAGCTCAATAGACTAACGTGTAAGAATAGAGGAAATTCGGATTGAAATCTGTACATACGTCAGCCAAATTTCTCTGTGCAACATTCCCAGAATTCCTGCACTACCCAATGTCCTTTGCGCGAATATTGCCGAATAAATAAATAAATAATAACGTAATGTATATATCAGGCTTTCAGTTTGTAGAAATCTTTCAAAGAAACAAGAAATAACTCTGCAATGTTTTTCGACCCAAATTGCACTAGTTCTATAGTTTCAAACAGACGCTCGGTTGTCTCCGTAAGCTCCGACGAGCTTCGTGACGTCGTATGACGTCACAGCTAGTCGAGATGTCTCGCGCGGCTTGACGTTCGAAGTGGCTGATCTCAAGTGTTTTTGATGGTACAACTGCGCTCGCCCCAACGGTCACACCGTAAAACATATTACACATGTATTCCCAATAAGAGAAGCCACGGTCGATTTCAAATGTTATAAAACCACAAAGGTATTCGTGAAAAAATCTAAAACACTTCTCCTTGTCCTTATTTCATTTTTTCTAGATTATACATTATTTATATAAAAGTAATTCCTAACTATTGTAAACGAGTTGACTTCTGATTTGTGTACGAGCTGACTTCTGATTTGTGTACGAGTTGACTTTTTGTGTACGACTCGGTTTGTGTACGAGACGGTTTGTGTACGAGTTGACTGGACACCAAAGCAACCGAAGCTATCTCACAAGCATGTTGGTTGCTTAGCCTGTTTTCCCTGGCCTACCCATAATGCTCCGCAAAAGTACTTTTGCGGAGCATTATGGGCAGGCCAGAGAAACGGGCTACCTAGTTGGTCGCTCCTCTTTCAGTAGTCTCGTTTTCCCCAGACTCTCGCTCTCGAGACTTTGCCCGAGAGCGAGAGTCTGGGGAAAACGAGACTTGTTTATACACATGTACACATGTCAGCGAATGAACAGACGAAACATGTGTAATGGTTTGGGCCGTGGATATCGGCCTGGATAGCTCAGTTGGTAGAGCACCTGACTAGAGATACAGGAGTCCCGGGTTCGATTCCCGGTCAAGCCGTGCATTTTCTCCTTTCCTGTTACAGATTTGGTGCCGTGACCAGGAGAGCGAGAGTCTGGGGAAAACGAGACTACTCTTTCAGCGAATGAACAGACGAAACATGTGTAATGGTTCGGGCCATGGATATCGGCCTGGATAGCTCAGTGGTTAGAACACCTGACTAGAATACAGGGGTCCCGAGTTCGATTCCCGGTCCAGCCATACACATGCGAAAGACAACTTGATTGGTACATGAAAAAAAAACTTCTGCTATGACACGTTCGCGTCATTACGTAAAATCTTTCGCAAATAAACGCGATTTATTTCATTTATAGGGACACAGAAAAGGCTACTCCTAGCAAACTAAATAAATAAATAAAAAATAAAAACTATATTGTTATACCTTTAAAAATGTGTTCCTATGCAAATCTATACAAAAAAGTGTTTCCACAGTTGTCATTTTAATCTTTAAAAAATGTTATTTTCTAGCTGTTGTCAGAAAAAAAAGTATCCATAATTAATTATGAATCTCTTTGATTTTACCTTGGATAAATAATTTGCAAAAATCAAAATATAGAAGATATTCAATGTTTTGTAGTTGAATATGGAATTTATTTCACGAGTGGGACAGGATTTTTGATATTTTGATATTCTCATGAGTGAAATAAATTCCATATTCATCTACAAAACATTGAATTTTCTGTTTATTACATTAAAAAAAAATTCTTTGATTTTTCCTTTGCATCTGACTTTTTGTAATACAGTCATAGGTTCATGACGTCATAGTTGAGCGATTGAGACGTCATTAGCTAAGTGAGGTGAAAACACTGTAAACATGGATTTAGCAACATATTTTGGTAATTTTGACAGTTTTATTCGCTGTCAGAATTGTTTATTTATTTCCATCTGTCTTATATTAGCTCAAGAAAGATTTTTTTACAGCAATCTTCGTTATGGGAAGGGAAATCGAGAGTTTTCCCGCACTTCTGATATTCGTCACACCCTGACAGGATATCATTTTGATATCCTTTCACACCGTGACAGGATATAATTTTTATTCAATGAATAAATTACAGTATTTTACGAGTAAAAATGTAATAAAACTTTTTGTCCCAAAAGTTTAACGTTTTTGATCCCTACTTTTAAAACTGGCGCGAAAAAGGACGCTACACTATTATAGCTAAGAAAATTAGCCTAGATCTTATAAAAATATTTGGTTTTCTATGAATGAAGTTTCAAACGTCTCATTAAAAAAATAGGAATGATATGTAAAAATCAGTACGAAATTAAATTGCCTCTGACCTATGATACGTGGAAAACAAAAAGTGGTTAGCTCAAAACCTGTAAAATGCCTTTTGTCGTTTGCTAGTGTCAACAAAACCTTAACAAAATGGGGGTTGTAGCATAAAACATGATTAACGAAAAAGAGAAGTGCCCGTCTTCCCAAAAATTGGCACATGTAGTATCGTTTTCCCCGCTCTACATGTACTAACATATAATGATTTTAAGGGTTTTTTTTACCAATGAAAAAAAACAACAAATGATGGATGATGAAAAAGTTATTACTTTACATGATATACTTATGCTCCCGTAAACGAAGTTTCGGGGGCATATAGTTTTTTACCTGTCTGTCTGTCTGTTTGTATATCTGTCTGCAAAAAGTTGAACCTTGCCCATAACTTTAGACTGGGTGAGACTATGGCTTTCATATTTTACAGGTGTATTTTAGTGTACAACCAATTTTGACCTTTTGACATTGACCTTGGAGTTTGACACACTTTTACCCAAAATTCCACACTTTTACTTTGGCATTAACTTTTTGACGGTATGTGCTAAGACTATATATCGAAGTAATGGCATGATAGACCAAGAGTTCATTAATTTGTAAAGGTAGTGTCTATAAAATCTCAGAAGAAAGGGGATGCAACAACAAACATTGGTCAGGTGTCTGTGGGCTAAAAAGTGTTGAAAGGGAAGTTTTTTTGAATTTATAGATATTTCTGAAGGTTAAACAATTATTCACTCAGGTGTAAATTTTTGCCAGTTTTGGAGGAATTTTTAGAACTTTCTTGATGTGTATGGTATTTCCTGCATATACATGAGAAAATTTAGTGCTTTATATAAGATAGTTAAATCAAAGTACTCAGAAGTACAGAGAGCCGGGCTCATTTACAGAGTAAAATGAATTTCTAACATGAATCATACGTTTATACTGTATTAACAGAAAAATAACAAGAATATCAGATTAAAAATTCTGATGAAAAAATTATTTTAAAACTAGCAATATAAATTATAAGACATTGACAGTGAGTTTGCGATCCAAATATCACGGTCCGATTTTGTCAGAGCAAAAATTTATCTGGTACTACGGCTGAATGTAAACAAACAGACCAGTCTGGTTCCCTCTCCTGTTTTTCCTCCTTAGTGTAGAGAACTACGATAACACTGATTATCAGAAATCTTTACGCTAATAAACTATGTTCCTTGACTTAAGACTGAAGTTTTCAAAGTCATACTACTAATGTTTATTTATTTAGATAAAACTTCGTTTTATTTATGTTGCTTTATTTAGCGTGTGTATTATCTCAAAAGCGGTTGAGAGTAAGAACTATATTTTTACACGTAACTTTAAAATGGCGACTATGGGGTTGACATCCTGTCTTGAACAGGATGATTGCTCTTTGAGCAATAAGCCCGGCTAAAAATATGTATTTAAAAGCAGAATGCACTATTCCGATCATTCAACTGGCGTTGGAATTTCATAAAAATTATGGATTCTGTTGAAAATTACGCCAGACGATAGGTCAGATATGAAAAAGAAGACGCTGACACTTTGTGAGAATGGATTAAATGTATCAGATCCATGTTCAAGTCGCGTATTGAAGATTGAGGGGCAATATGAAAATCATCTATTCTTCTATGTTCAATAATCCAGAAATGAAAAAAAGAATTAAATAG